AACTTCGAGCGGCTGCGGTTGGTTGCCGACCTAGCCGATGTGGGCAGCAGGAAGGAGGCCACCATCACCACCACCATACCAGAACGACCCGGGGCCTTCAAGTATGAGAGCGTGGGGAGGAGGGCTGTTGTGCGTGTATGTGCGTGCGCGTACGTCTGTATGTATGTACGGTATGTTTGTGCTGGGGATTGCGCAGAGGTTGGGGTGTAGAAGGGGAGGCCAGAGGAGAGGGGGTCGAGGGCGGGGGGGTTAGGGCCAAAGGTAACTGCCGCGCTGGCCACCTTGTCCGGTAGCCTACCCGCCTACTTTAATTTACCCCTCCCCGCTCCCGCCCACATTTTCCCCCCTCCTCCCTTGTGTGTGTTTTATTACCCCCACTTCCCCACTCCATATTTAATACCCTTTGCCTCAACTACTATCCACCACCACCATCCTTGCCATTACAACCCCACCACCACTCTCGTCACCCAATCACCCATCCCCACCAACACCACCAACACCCCTCTCCCCCCCGGGGGGCCCCCACCGCCACGCGCGTTCAGGGAATTCATTTCCACGGCGCTCTCCGCGGATCCGGATCTGTCAGTTACGGAATTTAAATACCGCTACTCGGCTGGATCCGAGGCGCAGGTACGGCAGATGGCGTGTGGGGTGTGGGTTGAGGGTGGGGGAGGGGAGCTTTCGGGCTCCGGGGGGTGGGGGTGATGGTTATCTCCGGGTACCTTGTTGGACGCGCCAGCAGCAGCAGCAGTTTGTGCGAGGCTTCGGACGTCAGTCGGCGCAGTTGACCTCTCTTTACTTCCTTTGCCGTATTCATCATCATCAGCAGCAGCAGCAGCAGCAGCCTTGTTGCCATCATTATCACCACATCATTCTGCAGCAGTATCGTTATCATCATGAATATCACCATCATTATCAACTCCACAACTCCTCCCTCCTTCCCCCTCCCCCATCTATCCCCTCCTCCCTCCGCCCATTCCCCACCTGCCCCACCCCTTCCGGGGGTTCTTCTTCCCCCCCGTGTCGTACATCTCACCACCAGGTGCTGTGGGGTGTGGGTATTCGCTCCTCCGACCAGCTCAGTGCACTGCTGGAGAGACTGAAAGGCGCCAAGATGAACTCCACAGACATCAGCGAGCTGGAGGTGGCGCAGGTAGGGCCCAGGGGGGGGAGGGGAAACGAACCACGTGAACGAGTGAATCTGATGACAAGGAAAGAGTGTATAATAAGCAGAACGTAGGGCGGGGGCGACCGAAAAAGGGGAGTGGAAAAAAGGAGGGAAGGGGAGAAAACGAGAAGGGATGGAGGGTCTATTCTTAGGGTTTGCGTTTGTATGTATGTATGTATGCATGCATGGAGTGTACGGAGCGTTTGTATCATCTCGGGGGGGTGGGGACTTTCTTTCACTAATAACCCCCTCCCCCCCTCGCTCGCTCGCTCGCTTATCCCCTACAAGCCTCCGTCTATTCAAACTCCCGCGCCCTCATCTGCTCATCGCAATACATTCTCTTCCTAACCCCAGCTCACTCACCACCACTCAACCACTCGCCACGTCCCCCTCCCCCCCCCCAGGTTCACCTGCGCCATCTGGCCGGTGGTCGCGCCCGCTCGTACACGGGGCACATTGAGGACGAGAAGATCCTTCAGGTGGTGTTCCCGGAGCGCCCGGGGGCTCTGAGGCGCTTCCTGGACGTGGTGTCGCCCGCGTGGAACGTGACCCTGTTTCACTACCGCAACTCGGGGAACAGGGAGTCGAGTGTGCTGCTGGGGGTGCAGGTGGGCCGGGGCGGGAGAGGGAGAGGGAGGGTGGAAGACGAACCACGAGTGAGGAAGGGGGGAGGGAAGAACATGGGGGGGAGGAAAAGAGGGGGAGGAAAAGAGGGGGAAGAAAAGAGGGGGAGGCCTGGAGGCCCGTGAGCATCAGTAGGCCACTAGCCTTAGAAATGTGGAGTCGCGCGCTTCGGTGACTACTCTTACCCCAAGTGCCTCACTGTTAAGCACTCACCGGCATTTGTTTTCCCCTTTTTTTGACTTGGCATCATGTGCGACGTCATATGATTCCCCCCGGGCCCCCAATACACCCCAATACCCCCAATGACACTCCAGGTCCCAAGCTACGACGAGGAACGATTCCAGGCGGCCCTTTCATCTCTCCGGGGGGCTGGGGAGGAGGGCTTTGCGTTCAAGGAGCTGCCGAGGGAGGTGCGGAAGGTGTTTGACCAGTTCATCCAGTGACACAGCGTGTGTGTGTATGTATGTGTATGCAGGTATGTATGTGCATGTGTCGGGTTGGAGTGCTTAGCGATAGTCCCCCCCCCGCTGTGTACGGCGCTAACCCCACCCTGCCCATAACCCTAGGCGCGGCTTTGTTTGCAAACCTGGGGTGGGGGAGTGAGAGGGGTTGAGTGGGAGTGGTGTGGGGTTAGGGGGGGCGGGGTAACGCCACTGTCGACTGTCTGGTTTGTTTAGCACGGCGTGTGTGAGTGTGTGTGTGTGGGGGGATTAGTGTGCGGTTGCGGTTGCGTGTGTGTGTGACCGCGTGGAGTGAGGCGGGAACGCACAATGGAGCGCAGAAGTGGTGGTTGGTGGTTGGTGGTTTGTACGAGGAACACCATCTGATCGGTCATCTGACGCCGACCACGGGGCATCGGCCGTAGGGGTTCAACCCCCCCGAAAAACACCATAACGAAATAAGGGTGCGGGGGTGTACGGTGGTGTACGGCAACGAGGTTTTCTTATGAGCTAGTTGTCGACATCCTTGTGTGATATTCTCCAATTATGCTGGCGGTGGTGTTTAGGTACTACGACTCTCAAAAAGCGTGCCTTATTAATTGTGGCGTCTTCGGGGCTAGAGTTACTAAGTCCGCCCCGCTTGTGTGTAATCACGCGCGCTGTGTATTGTGTCTTATGTATGCGTGTCCGTGGCGGGACCTCTGTTAAGCTTTTTTAGTTCTGTAGTACGTTCTTGTTACGTCTTTGTACTGTTCTTGTCTTTCTCTCTTCGGCAGGAGGTGTGCGTGTGAACGTTACAAGTATCTATCTGACCGGGGGCCTGACGACACTGGCCACAGGGGAGGGGCTGTTGCTCAGCCCCAAGGGAAAGACCGCCTGACTAAGAGCTCTCTCTCCCGCGGACGAGATGTATATGCTGTGTTTGTTTTTTTGTGTGTGTTGCGTGTGTGTGTATGTGTGCTTTCACGGTCCTCACCTCATATGATCATTATGGCCAGGTGATGGTTTGGTGGGTGGATACTCGAATCGACAGCGAGGCCGTCATCGTGGGGTGCAGTACAGCCAGCTGCTACCAGATTTGGTGCACCTGAATGGCGGGTGGCTCCGTCAAGTATGTTTGTTTGTAATATTCCTCCCGAGGGCTCCCCTCCACCACCACACACATACACACACGCAAACGGTGGTATTAGGCCTCTCCTTAAAACGCTAATACCACCGTTTGCCTGGTGAAATGCGCATTGGCGTTGTAACGATTAGGGAAGGTTTTGTGTTACTGGGGGGCCCCGAATGACGCGGTGCCTATGGAGAGATGTTCAGTAACATGTACGGCTTACAGTATGGATTCAATTTTAAGCATTCAATTTCTCAATGCTCTGCTCTGTATTTTTTAATAGACTTTCAATTTTGGTCGTAAAGAAACAACCACACCTTGCATGTCACTGTGATTGGGGATGATATTACACCGCCACTGCCGCCCTCCAGCACCAGCTACCAAACATAACGGCGACATCAGCACATCAGAATGAACCACCAGCGGCACACGTATGTCCTCGAACATTCCCTATACACATTTATACGTGTGGCTGTCCTACAGACCCTTCTACCGCCGGCAAACACCCTGACCTCTCCACCAAAATCTCAAGTGCGGTACCGGCGCCGTACAAGGACGACAGGCGTCGTACAACGACGACGGGTGAGTTAGGACGACGACGACAATGATGGAAAAGAAGGGGGAGCGGAGTCTCACAGATTGGAGGTGGCCTGCAGCCGCTCGGGGAGGCTGGAGGCTGGGTTGAGTGATGTCAGGAACAGCCGTACCGTGTCCCTTACGTGTTGCAGAGCCGTAGCCAGTCGTCGTGTGGTGGCGGGGAAACGTCGGCTCATCCACCACCAGATGAACGTGCGGGAGGAGAGCAGTCCTTGGTTGAGGGCTCGAAGCGGCCACAGCAGCAGCAGCAGTAGCAGCAACCGAGATGTGCTGCCATGTAAAGCATGTAGTACCGTACAACGGAGGAAGAGGAAGAGAGGAAATATTTATGGGGGAGGGCTTGTCTGCGGACCTCTGACCTGATCTGACTAAGGTATTTCCATAAATCTCTCCGACAAAGATATTTCCATCCGCATCGCATCCACATGTCGACATGTGGTCACGCTGCTAGGCCAGTACGACATGTAGTGCGACATGTACATTTTTTTAATTTGAGGGAGGAGACAAAAATAGACGTCGTGGCACCATCCACGTCCTTTCTTTTTCCTTAACTGATGTCAACTGTCAACTTACCGTCTTAGCGGTCCACCAGTCGCCTCTGCAACGGCTTCCCTGGACGCAACCACCGCAACCGCCATTCGATTAGCAGCAGCTTGCTGAAGCTCCCCCTCCGTTTCGAGACATCGGCCCCGGCACACAAGCTTTAACCTGCGCTGTTGGTTGTGTTGGTTGTGTTGGGATGAAAGACTAGTAAGAGTGCATGTCTGCAGGAGAGTGAACTGCCTTGATCATGCTGTGCCGATGTCTAAACCATTATCAGAGAGAAAAAGAGAGAGAGGGAGAGAGAGAGGTGTGCGCGGGGCAAAGCAAAGGGGGGAAAACGCGAACCACGAGCGAGTGAAGCTGCTGCCAAGAAAAGAATACTGTGGCAGATGTACAGGCAAAGGGGGGAGCAGTCATGCTGATTTCGTAGGACGGTGTGTGTCCCCCATGGCCCGCATGCAAGTGCCAAGGGTGTCATTGAGTTACAGGATTGCGCCGTCCATGTATCTTTGAAAGTGTGCGTGTGTGTGTTATATACTACATCGCCATTGTGCGTGCAAACATGCCGTACGTGTCCTGGGTGTCGTACCTGGTGGGATCCAGCTTAAACAGCTTACATATGGTGTCCCGGATGCGGCTCTCTGGGTTTGTGTGCTCGTTTCCGCTGCTGTTGCTGCTGCTGATGGGGTGTTGAGGGGATTGTGGCGGAGCTGAGGGGAAGAAAAGGGAATTTGGGGAAAGTCCGCACTGATGGGGAGTTGATCACGATGGGTCCTTCAGAACATGAAAAAGGATGCAGTAGGGTCTTGGAGGAAGAAAGGGGGCGTGGAAAGGGCGGAAGAGGGCAGCAGCAGCGGCAGTAGCAATGGGAACGTAGCTAGCAGCACGGCATTAGAGTAACAAGTGTGAACAGCGAGCTATTATTCGAAAGCGGAATCTGGTCCACGTTGGAAAACCTCCTGGATAGTTAGCTTTGAAGTCATTGTTAGCTCGTTGTGTCGGTTACCCCTCCCTCCAAGTTGGATCTTGTTTAGTGCGTACTTGCAATTCCTTCAAATGACTATACACATCCTACACACCTCAAATCGGACTCTGCCAATCTGCAATGGCAGTACATCGCAGGCAGGGGCGGGAAGTCCTCCGGGCGGTCCATGGTTCGATGGCAATGCCCCGGTTGCACAGCGTGGTGTCGCAACTGAAGGTGCTGCGTTGGCTTCATCTCTAGACCCACCATTTGGGGTGTCCGACACTGGACCGCAATGAAGCATGGGCTGGCGACATATTGGGCATGCCGGCCTTCGAACGCTCTGTTGTCGCCAGACAATTTCCGCTAGACACTGCGAGGCGCCAAAGGCACAGCAGTTGGTACCGCTGCATGAATAAGGGTGTTGATGTGGAACTTGACGGGAATGCATGCCTGGGGCCCATCGCTTCGGCAAAGAAGACCGTTCATCCGACACCAACAGCCATCTCAAAACGAAGCCATACGCACCTCTTCACAGTATTGGTGACCGCAATGCAGGACCGCGTATCGCCACTTTGATGAGAGGCGCTCACGATAACATACCGGGCACCTCCAGCTGGCCATCGATCCTCTCACCCGAAACTGTGGTAGGGCCTACACATAACATTGCAGAATAGAAAGACCATCTCGAATAGGATAAATACCAGATGGGTAGGAGTTTCCCGCTTTAAACCAGAACCTTATTCAATTTGCTTGTGAGTTGTTCATTCCTTAAAAAGGCAATCCATTTCCTAAATAAGTTTCCTTCTTCATGAGAATGCAAACGCTCTTCATGTCCTTGGCAGACGCATTACCGTGGATTTAACCTTCACGTTCGGTTGTTGAACGGTCGTTATTCCGTTCCATCACTCTGTGCCACAATGGTCTTTTGACACGCTCCAGGAGAACCGATTCCAAAATCCACCTTATTAAAATCCACAAGGTCAGTCCCCAACTACGACGTGTCCCAAACTGCGACATGGTTTACCGGCACGCAACCTCAATCGACACGGCCGCGGAACGGCAGGACAGCAGCCGGGGCCCCGCCAGCCACATAATCGTGTGCCCATCGTTTCTGGGGTGGGCGCGATTATGTAGCTGGCGATTCCCTCCTCTTAGGGGATTTCCTCTTAGCTTCCTCCCCCTGCACCCAAACACAAATACGAACATATACATTCCCAAGCATCGCGTGGCATCATTTACTCGCGCTGCGCTTTGCCAAAGGAAAATACGTTCCCTCCTGTTTTACACCATTCCGCGCCCCACACCTGTCACACACATACACATAAAAAAAACAAGTCGGGTGTCGGCTTCCTCGAAGCCGGAAAAAGGGCGGGGGCCCCCCGCATCCGTACAGGCCGGTAGCTAGGGTAGTGTCAACGTGGTGGAAGCTGTGCTTCTTGCAGCAGTGCTGATGCTGTGGGAGCTATGCTTGTCAGAGCGCGGGAGGCAGGAAGCCCAGGCCCCTTACCCGTTGAAAAGAGACGGTGCCTCTCTGGAACCTAGCAGACACGGCTAAGAGTCATTGGCCGTTGCATGTAACCTGGAGGTCCGCGACCTGCCACCGACAGCCCCTTGCTTGGGCGTAAACGTATGAGTCAGAGGTGCCGTTACCGGCACACAGCAGGGGCTCCACCGCCAAGTCCGCGGTCCAGGCCGGATGCTCAACACTCAGCAGACACAATCGCAGCTTGCCAGCCCTCAGCCTGTTGGCTTTGCGGTCTGGTGCCGCAGCCCGAACACACATGGAAAACAGCGCCGTAGCGCCGTACAGCACCGTACGCACTGCCTACGGCGCCCCTTCAGGCATTGACCTGGGCGCCTGCTCATGCGCCCTTGGCGCCCCCCTCAAAGCCTAGCTCGACACACTTCCCAAATGCCCGCAGCACTTTCCGATGCTGTCCGTGAAGTTTATCCCCGAAGCGCCAGCGGCCTCAGCAATCCGCCCCACAGCCGCTGCAGCACACTGCCATTGGCCAAAGTAATTGTACAAACGAACAGCTTGCATACTTCAGTCGGAATGCCCGTGCGGGCAAATGGTATCACAAGCTGGGTGTTCGAGTATCATACGCCGTCATCTCAAAATTCAATTATGAGATACGCGGCACCTTTTGAGGTTAAATTTAGCTCGAGAGGCGTTGATGTGACTTTGGCCTCGGTCAATGAAGGCAGCCAACTTGTTTGTGCTCATACGATTTTTGTTGGCTACAGGCGAGATACCTTGCAATAGAGAATGCTATATATATTACCAATAACGCGTTTCAGCCGGGCGAGATATTATGTTTGGTCCGTTACACACACACACACACACAGACATGGGCAATCCTACAGGGGCCCCCCCCCTGGGCGCTTCACGCTGGGGCCCCGCCCCCCAAACATCCATGTTGGAAATGACCGACACTCATGTACCAGTGAATGGTAGCCACAGTAATAGGACCCAACGGGGGTCCGGCGCTTTGCTGGTCTTAACAATCCAAGCCCCCCTCCTTTCCCACAGTGCATCTCCATCCATTCCACATTACTCAACCATCTCCCAACGCTCTTTCATCATCGTTATCTCCTTAGGCGGACTTAGCTACAACCTTATAGCATCCGGCGGCGCCTGCCACACGCACCGACCGGGTTCCAGCTGCCCCGCCGCCTCACCGATAGCAGCAGCCGTTGGCGCGGTGGCGGCACCAGCGGCAATGCCGTCACACGCCGCCAGGTTTGCCGGGTCGCCTTGTGCCACCACACGCCCCTCGGGCAGGGAGACCGCACGAGGCTGCGCACGCCGCTCGAAGGCCTTGTGCGCGCCCGTGTAGAAGACGGCCGCGTTGACCAGTAAGATTCCCCCGTTGACCGACCGGGGATGGGCCACGCGGTATTCCCCCACTGCTTCGTGGATGTGACCGCAAATCCACAGCTGTGGTGGTCGTTTTAAAGCCTATGTTAATTTGAAGGGGTGGAAAGATCGTGGGGAGTCTGAGCCATGAGAGAGAGCGCAATGGATAAGTGCGACACTTCCTACTTACTGGCGCCCTCCACCAACATTTTTTAAAATAGTTTTCATGATTCCTACAAATTCGTATAACCTCATTACGGTGATGATCTCGGAAGATCCTTTAAGTTAATGGGGGGTTACACTGTGGGCGGGGGCACAGCACAGGGGTGGGCGTGCAGCTCTACGCCCGCCTTTTAAGTATTGTCGTCTTAATTTTTGTAGTGATAGATTTTTGTATACAAATAATACGGATTTCAGGAAGCCTCTTTACAAAACCGATTATGTTTTGCAGCAAAAGGCCCCGATCTTGCTGCACCCGCGCCTACCTGTACGGCAGCGAGCAGCTGCTTGTCGCCCACGTGACGTCCTCTTGTGAGATCGCCGTACCCGTACGGCGGTGTGTGAGTTACGAGCACGTCCAGCTCCAGGTCAGGGGGCAGCAGTCTGGACCAGTGCCGTTGCCCCTCAGCCTCATCTTCCAGCTGCGACGACACGAAGAAACAAACAAACATACATACATACATACATACATACATGGCGAACGGATACCCTGTGTGTGACCTAACTAAGATACGCACCACATATCGACATATCCAGCAAACGAAAAGAAACAACAGGACAAAACAGGGCCCCCAAGGCAAATAGGAATCTAAGGACGTGATGAGCTGCATGACGAAGATACTCCCCAGGACGGTATCCTCCGCCACCTCCAACCTCTCCTCCCCTCCCGGTATCCCCCCCTTCCGGCCCCCACTCTCACACCTGCCACACACCCGCATACTCAGGAGACCAGGGCGACGCCAGCAGCCGCAACCCCGCCACCTCCACAACCCGGTCCACCACCACCACTGCGCCCGCGACCTTGAGCCCCTCGCCCAACTCTGCGGGCATCACCAGTAACAGCAACAACAACAGCAAGAGGAGGAGGAAGAATTCCACAGCAAATGACGGTAATAGGAAAGTGGCGGTAGGAAACATCAACATGGGAAAGTGGCGACATGGAATGGGGTCAGCAAGTCGGCAAGTCGTGCAGCGGCCGGTCGGTCAACCCGGAGCGATCCTCCCTTTCCGGGGCCCAAACCCGCACCACGGACGTCAACCCCATCACGGACGGCACCCCCACCACGGCCGTCACCCGCACCATGGCCGTCACCCACACCACGTCACGCAGCCCACCGTACGCCAATCTGTCCATGTTACTGCGGGGTACGGTAACGGCAGTAGAGGGGGAAAGCACAAACGGGACGAGATGGGACGAGATGGGCAACGAGCCAACACACCGCTGTGGTGCTGGTGCCCACCTGGAGGGTCGTACGTCTAAGCAGGAGAGGGGAGGGGGCAGAAGCTCTGTGTGCAGCAGCAAATTCAAGAATTTCTATACGTATATTTTGTTTTTTGGCTCCAAAGTTGCGAAATGCTGTTGGAGTCAAAGCGATGACACAGGAGTCGGTGGAGGTATTGGACCTTGCAGGGGGGGTGGGGCTTAGCGGTCGCGGCCGGTAGAGGCCACAGCCGGATGAACCAACCCCGCCTCTCTCAGACACATCTTTCTTTAGTTTTTTTCATCCTTGGTTGGACCCACCATCCCTCAACCCTCGGCCCGTACCCGACCATTTATTCCGACATGGCTCACCCAAATCCGACCACCTTGTCTCGGTGGGGCAGCGAGGCAAGCCATCGCTCCAGTAACTCCACATCCCGGGGGTTGCGGAGCTCAATGTCGCCAGCGATAACCAGCAGGTCTCCTGAGAGGAGTAGTGGGCCCCGGCAACACCGGAGATACAGTTGACTGCCATACGCTAATAATGTATCTTGAATCTGTAATCTTTAAAAAAAACAGTGCCGTCTGAGCATGCATCTGAGCCGTTCTCTCTCTTTCTCCCTCTCTCTCTTTACCGATCTCCTACTTCGAAAGGCGTGGTAGAAGACGTTTTTGAAGGTGCAAGTGCCGAAGGTATACGTCGGAGTATCAAAGCCGCAAAGGTATTCCTGCTAGTGAGGTAACTAGAGACACGGGATGCGACTCTGTGTGCTACATATTGGAGCTGGGGTTGGGGGGGGGGGGCCGTGGCGTGGGTCGACCGATGCTCGTTTGCGCTTGGTCGAGAGGTCTGCGTTGCACGGAAAGAGCGCCCTGATCCTGCTGCTGCTGCTGCTGCTGCTGCACGGCGCGGTATTCGTATAGGTCATTCTATAGGTGGATTACTGTAAAGCGTGTGAAGGGGTAGCTAAGGCTGTGCTTAAGGCTGCGGTTATCTCGGGACGTGTCCCATGTTGTACAACGGCCAATGTTTGCGACGAGGAGCCCACCAGCAGCAGTGAGCGTTATTAATGCATCACACAGCGTCCAATAGTATGATTGAAATGCCCATCTGGTTTGTGCGCAGCTTTCTGTCAGCGCACCGTCCGGAATGTCGAGGATGTCATTGCGCAGATGTAGTCCGTGCATGTCGCTCAGGGAGACTACGACGGTGCTGCTGGAAGTTCTTGGTGATCCTGTCTCCGCCATGCGACAATTCGCGAGCTACTGGTGATGGCACAGTGCACAGGACCACACGACAACGATATAATGGCGGGGAAAGGAAAGCCTCCAACTTAGTTTTATGTAAAAATCGACAATAAGTGCCTTATCGTAGCAGAAACGTGCAAACTGATTCGTAAGGGCACTGTTAAGGAACCAGAAGGCAGTGGAAGAGTAAGAAAAAAGAACAAGGAGTTGGCCACAGAGAATTAGAGCAGCAGCAGCAATTTGACGTGGGTCGCGGTTAGTTGGTCCGTTTACGTTTACGTTTACGTTTACAAGCTTCAAGCTTGTACGGTCCAGACGAGCCAAAAGGCTCATGAACCGCCAAACTGGAAACAGGAACTCAAAAAAGAAAAAATGCTAATACCCAACAATATCAGATTGATTAATCTTCAACGTACTGCAACCTGCATCTTCTAATGTCGTCCAGGACGTGCGCTAACCCGCGTTGATCCTTGACGCCCATAATCTCAATCATGCGGTCCCTTAGGAGCAATTCAAGGGTTCAAGCTTGTCGGTTGACCGGTAGGTGGCGCAGTTGGCCGTTACAAAATATATTCGTGTTACGCATCAGACATCGGCAAAAGGGGTATTTCTGGTTTCGGGAACGGGTCTATTTCTGTCTTCCAGTACAATTTCTGTTTCAAGGCCGCGGAATGAAAATGCAATTTTTGCTATAGTTTGGCATTCGTATACGGCGTACGATCCTATTTCTGCAAGCCGACCGGCTTCGGGAACTCTATTTCTGTTTTCGGGAGTTTCCGTATGACCCGAACTTCCCGAAGCGTTTGCCGATGTCTGTTACGCATGACCGTACTTGGACAGGATCTGTTTATAGGTCATACACCTGTCTATGTTCTGTAAATTAGACAAGCTCCTCAACGTGTGCGTGCGTGTGTGTGTGCGTGTGTGTGTGCGTGTGTGTGCGTGTGTGTGTGCGTGTGTGTGTGCGTGTGTGTGTTTGCATGTGCATGCGTGCGTGCGTGTGTGTGTGTGTGTGTGTGTGTGTGTGTGTGTGTGTGTGTGTGTGTGTGTGTGTGTGTGTCAGCGGTTGTTTTATGCGGAATATATTCCGAATTCGGAAAAAAATGTTCGTGGTCCTGAAAATTAAGAATAAATAACCAAGATGGACTGTTTATGCCAAAGCCGCTAGAATCTTGCAGGAGACATACATGTTAACCTTATCATAGTACTTCAATGCCATGGATACTGTTAGGAAGGTCACGCCCGAAAGTCAACGAGGAATTGGACTGTTTCTGACCGGACCAAACGCTGCAAAATATTCGGACCCAAAGCTCCCAAAACGTGGAAAGAAGATATTAAACTTCACTGAAACCATTAGCGACGTTAATGAAGACGGCCTAGAGGTCGTAGGCAATGTGGACGCAATGCTGCAGCCAGCCGACGACAATGATGCCACTCTGGTTGTCAACAGCGAGCGGGCCAAACGTCCACGTTCTTCATATGGAGACAATCACGATGGGCCAGGAAACACGGGCGTTGAGGGTGATGGCAGCAGCGACCCCGGTGCTACAGCTAAGACTCCTATCCCCACACTCTGCGGCACAAAGACACCCTGACCACAGACACAGCGGGTCGTCAAGGGGCAGAGCGATGGCGTGTGGCTGGAGAAGAAGGACAAGCATCCCCTGGCACTGTGTGTGCGCATGTTCATGCAAGACCTTTATGACCAGCACACGTTCCCCTTTGAGGCGGCACTGGAGAAGTGGAAGGCCGCCAGCAGCAGGGGCCAGTACACAATGAACCGCTAACTAGCATGCAGCATCAACACCAGGGGCTGCAACCAACCGCAGAGGTTGTGTTTGGCGGTTCTGGTTCATGGCTGCTATGCATCATACTTTTGCAATCTGGAAAGTCGTATAGTGTTATCTTTCAACGTGATGCAAAACGAACAACGGTGAACGAACTCTATTTAATCAGTAGGGGTTAACTGGTCTGTGTTTGCTTGGGCTCTGCAACAGCCGTCGCCCATGCTGTAGCAAGCTACATTTCCCTTAGAATATTTTAACGATTACTTTTAACAATAACTGTTAATTTGTTAAACGATCTGACTCAAGTTTCATACATGTTCCGAGTTTCATCACATGTCACGAACTGGGCAGCTGTTAGTAAGCGAATCTAACGGGCTGGGGCCCCGGGCCCCACCAACATTATCCTAGTACGGCAAGGTCCGTAGTAGAGATTATCCGGCAGGTAGGCCGAGATATAAGCTACCCGGGCGGGGTGTTCTGGCCAGACACTGACGTATCACATTACTAGGTGTTCGGAGTTCAAGACTCCGCTGCCGCCGTCTCTAACCGTTACGTACACATCTTATGTACGCTAGTGCTTGCCGCTTGGTTGGACTTCTTCCTACATCGACGAGGACTAATAACTCCACGCTTCCGCTCTGTCAGTCCTCCCGTCAGGTGAGCGACTGCTACACATGCAACCGGGGTTCCTGTCAAAGCATCCAAGTGCGTGCTGCTTCCTGGCGTGCAAGAGACACCTCTATGAAGAGATTGTGGTGTGCACGTGTTGTGACATGCCCCAAACCCTGTATTTGTATGAACTAAACTAAAACTCATGGGGGGGTCTGAGGGGGGAGTAGCCCCCCCCAGCTAGGGTTTTCAGGCCTTTCAGGCATGGCTCCACCCACAGGCTTGTGAATACCGCGTCATCCAAGCACCACTGTGACCTGTCTTTGAACTTGGAGAGCATGTCTGTGTACTGCTGTTGCTGTTCTGAGCAGGGATGCCAGACCAGCTGCACCTCCAGGTCCCAATCCGTGCACTTCATGTACAGCTCATCCACTCATTGCAGGCACAAGCCCTGCCCTTTCATACCTAGCACACACAGGGTTGCGGCCTGGCTGTCAGTGTGATACAGCAACGACTTTCCCGCTAGCAAGTGCAGGCCCTCACACTTAATCCAGTCCAGCGCTAGCATTACCATGCAAAGTTCCCGTTCTGTGCTAGACATTTCCCCCCAGGCCATGCACTCTGAGTCTTCCATACATCATGTGATCAACCGCACAGGATGGGTTGACCCATGATATGGCACTGAGGGCCATCAGGTGAGGCTCCTCCTTCTTGAACCACCAACAACATTGTTTGTCTGTGGCAGGAAGACATGGCAGGTCAAAAGCAGGCAGCGGGCAGTTACCTCGAAACTCCACTGGGTCACCATGCTTCAAGATGTGCAAAGTGTGCACATCTGCCCCTATTGCCTTCCAAGTGGCCAGCCGCATCATGGCCCTAGCATGCAGGGGCACAAAGGTGTTGGACATAGCAGACTACTGCTCGTGCTGCCCCAGAAACTCCATGCCCAGGATGGCAGAGCCCATCACCATGTGGAAGTAAGGGGAGTGCAGGCATAGCCACCACCGTGACCCCCATGGGTGGACCTCGATCTTCTGATCTGCTGAAGAGAAAACCTTCAGCATCGCGTCCAAGCCTTGGACATGAGTTTGGTTACATGTGTCGTCAAGAGGACATCTGCTGTTGTAGCTGCAGGAGTAGACTTGTTGGGTCCGTGGTGGGCGGGAGTTGTTGACCCGCTCCAGACAAAGCATGGGGCATAAACTGCGTCGCAGAACCCCTCGAGGAAATGCCAGTCTGTGACATTCCGGTATAGCTGTGGGTTGCCTCCACCAGCGGAGTCAGGCCTAGCGATACCGGGACGTGCGCCGCCACTAGCACAATGAAATGTGCTCCAATTTGGTGGGCTAACTCTATGGTGCTAGTGTTTTATATTCTCTGCACTCTACCCGATGGGTCTCGCTGACGAGCCGAAGGCACAACGGTAAAGTAGCGCTGGAGGCGCGGGACCCGTTTTGTTAATCAGCGCGCGCTGAACAACAAAAACAGGATAAGCTAACCAGCGTAATGCGCGCTATAAATGACGGCCCTGAGGACACGGGCCGTTGAAAAACAGTTAGACTATCAGCTACGCACTGGGCCTTACGTCCAATTAACCCAGCGTACTTAACGCAGTGAAGACAGGAGCAGGGCCTGGCCGAAATACAGCAGTGACCTCCAATATAATTGATTTAGCACACAGGGTCCGGGTCTACCTAGACATGGTGACCATTCGGCAAGCCCTGCTTTCTGTGAGGGGCGAGGACGCTAGTTCCATTTCGCCAATTGTTGCTGCCCTTTCAGATTTAGGCTTTGACGTAGATGCCGAGGTCAGCGGCGCTTTCCGCCTGCTGAACGCGGAACAAGCAGCAGGCCTCAATCTTCGACAGCGGTTGGCTCTAAAGGCCGCCATCCAAGGTCCGTTGTATGCAATCGCGTACTTAAGCATTGTTAGGCTCGTATCCTGTAAACCGCCACTGCAGGCACGCACTTGTAAAATTTGCGCATGGGGCCGTTAGGAGTGCCATCGGACGCATAGGGCGTTAGGAGTGTCTCGTCAAGCGCTGCGAGAATTGTCCCTCAATTTTGCTGCGGTGCTTAGGCATTGTGGTTGAGAGTAGACAGGACGCACGCCGTTTCCCGCTAGCACGCCGAGGCGCTGGTGGCGAGTTCCAAACCTAGGTTTTGCAGATAGCCTTTGCAAATTTGCGCGTGAAGCTACCTAAGGTGTTAATTCCGATCCGGGGAGTACTCACCTCCTAGAAAATCGCACCAATGTAACACCAGGCAAAGAGTACTCAGGGAGATGCCAGGGAAGCTGATCCCTTCTTACATCTACCGCAGTGGTTCTGGATGAGAATGCCACGCGCTTCTTTTTTGCACTGCATACCATGCATGGTCATGGTCTTCTGAACCGTTAGTAAGCTGTGTGTTCCTTTACAATTTCGTGACAAATGACCTACCTGCATACTGCACCCTCGTTTTTCCTTGATCTACAGCTGCGGCAACTACTGTCCCGCCACCGGGTCCCAGCTCTGGTGAGTTCGCCTCATTTTTATGTTACTTCTTGGAGCTGAATCCTTTGTGTCCTCATTTTTTTCACTAGGTAGTGAAGTGCTAACAGCTTTGGCAATGTTGTGGCTCTGGCTTGCCTATCTACCTTGTAACGACGCAAATGCCAATCTGAGCATCCCGGGTTACGCCTTTGCTGTGTTACAATGGTATCGAGACGGGACCGCACGAATTCCGAAATAAACTTCGGGTCGGCGGTTCGATTCTGGCAACCAGCAAGTCGCAAATTGGCGATTTCATGGTGTAATGGATAAACCAGCGCACTGGCGCGAGGTGGGATGGCTCCTGTGCTCGAAATAATGGCCGAGGACGTCCATTGCTAAGTGGGGGGCAATGTAACGACGCAAATGCCAATCTGAGCATCCCGGGTTACGCCTTTGCTGTGTTACATACCTGCACTTAAGGATGACTTTGCACACCTATCTAGCTATGTATCCTGCCTCTTGTTTGCCCTTCTGGCTGTATGACATCTAAGGGGGGCTGGTTGCTTTATAATGATAACCTAGAGAAAACCCCGGGAATTAGTTCCTACACATACTGGTGCAGCCTCTCTTTGGGTGGATCTGGATAGAAGAGGGCGGTAATGTGTTACCAGGGGGATAAACCCAGGCAGCTGTACCTGCATGAGGCGGCTGGATAATGTATTAAAATGTCGGATCTAAAATAGTGGTAATTTTTTGTCGAAGTTCAATCCTATATAGAGGGAAACTTGCTCTGCAAGTCAATAGATATTTTCCCATGCTGAGTCTCATATCTGTGGTAATAAGTGCCACTTGTGTGTCGACTGTGAGCTTACCACCGACCAAAGAGAGGTCGGTGAAACCCAAGTTGATGACCCCCAACCGAAAACAGAGTTCATTAGACATTTAAGAGAATTTTCCATTTTGCCCTACAGAGGAAATTGAGGCACCCCAGAGTGACCCAAAAGGGTTTGAGTCCTTGTGAAGCATGGCTTCAGGGGCCCCACAATTATCCCTAAGTTTTTTTGCAAAAACTCGAAAGATATTTTAGCGTCAATCTACATGGTTTCGGGTGGAAGGCGGCTGGTAACCAGGTAAGGCCTGCTTGGTTGCCAGTCAAACAACAAGTATGTGCATGAAAATCTCCTCGTTGGCGACTTGACCTGTGCAAAAGCAGAAGCTCAAACATCCTGAGGTGGTTCAGTATGTACACAATGATTGAGCTACCGCGAAGATTGCAGCAGAGTAGGCTGGTCATGGCGGGGGATCTACCTTGGCTGCTATGGGCACAGCTGAGTGTGTCTGAATGGCGACTGCCTGCCTGACTGACCAATGTAAATACTCAAAGCGTGTTGGGGTTGTTTTTCGCTCACGGCTCGCGGCATGGATAAAGCTGCAGTCTCACTGGGATCCGTTCTACTTGGCTCCCCCTGCATGGTTGCTGCCTGCGGCTGCCGGTGAGCATGTTCACGGTGCTGTAGGGTATGGATTGGCACACGGTTGGTTGGGGTCGGGCAGAAGAGTGTTCCTCACGCAGCATGACATCGGCTGAACGCCAACCACTGTTACGGCAGCAGTGCAACACCAAAGCTCACGTTGAAATTGTTGTAGTGTGCATCCGTCTTTGTTTGCACTATTGAAGCACCTTGGGTCGGCATGCCCTGATGCTTGAATCACACACAACCCCCTCCACTGCGTATCAGCATTGTGTGGACACTTTACCACCAGCTGTAAAAAGTACAGCACCCCGCACCCCGCCGTGCAGCTGTGTGCCCCATCGTAACAGCCGTCTCTTACCTTAGCTGTTTGAGCGGAAGCGGAGGGTCTGGTCCACGATTGATGACCCAGCATTAGACGCGAGAACAGATACGGGAAGTCGGAATTTGAAGACATACATCGAGAATGGTGACAGTGGAGTCTTGAACATCCGAACACTGGTATAGTGATACGATAAGTGTCTGGCCGAAGCACTTCACCTGGGTGGCTTAAATGCGGCCCACCTGCCGCCATCTCCATTCCTGGAGTCTTGGTGTCGTATGCTAGGTTGTGATAGCGCAACAGAAAGTGAGTTCGTACAGTTAACGAGTATGATTTGTAACTACGGGACCGTACCGTTACTGTGATTAAGCTTTAATAGCTTAAAGATATTCTAAGGTAAATGTAGCTTGCTACACCCATTGTGATAGTGGCCCACCCTGCACGTTGTCTGGCGACCATGTCTATGATGTGTGCACGCACTGCATCGTCGTTATGTTTGACGATTTAATGCTGCTCATGTTGTACAGCACTGGTGTTCCAGTGAGCCATCCCGCTTGCCCTACCGTGGGCCTTCCGCCTGCAGGTGCTGATTCTGGCACCAGCAACGCTGCAGCAGGTGAGCCGACTGTGCCTGACACAGGAAGGGGGGGAAACAGGTTTTGTGGGCTTGGTGTGCCCGTTTCATTGCAGCACTGGGCTTGAGTGCATGGATGCTCGTTTGTGGGAGAGCACACACTTTCTCTACCCGCCGTAAAGGGGCGGTTCAGTGTTCTGCATGACATACACCTCCTGCTGCCTGAGGGGTGTGACTTATGGCTTGATTCAGCTTGAAGTTGCTTCGTCACTCTGCTGCTCTGCACCCCTTCATTCCTGCCTCCTTTCGTTGTGTTGTGATCCTGCATGCATTGCAACTGGGCGACAGTGGCTGGCTGTTTAATGTGTATGCACCTTGTGGGCATGATGGGCTATCCTTGTGCAGGCCTGCCAGTTTGCAAGCTGCAGCTCCGGCGAGACTCGCAGAACCAGGACCTGTTCTTCTTTGAGCCCATGGACACCAACAGCACTGCAGCTGCCGCAAGTGCTGGCGTGAGCAGCGGGTTTTTCCTGGACCCTGAGGGCAGGCAGATAGATGAGCTGCAGAAGTGGCTGGGCCTTGTCGAGGATGAGCACCGTAATGGCAGACCCATCCCGCCACTGATCATCAATGGTCTGATCAAGGTGGGATATAAAGGCCTGACCAAGGTTGGAGAGCTCCTTGTGCAGCTTGTGTCACCCACATGCAACATGGTTTGGAGTGAGAAGGTTAGGTGTGATAGATGCGATGCATGCAGATGCATGCATCTTTGTGCACCGTTGAGTGATACACAGCTGAGTGACCAAGAGGAATGCACATTTACCTAGCCATCTTGCACCCATCTTGTGCCCGTTGTGCAGAGTGGCAAGTCCTACATGCTCAACAAGGTTCTGCCTGCTGTGGCCAACACCTACTACAGCAGCGGCCGGCAGCATGCCGGCACGGTGCTTTCAGAGCCCAACTTCCTGCATGTCAAGTGCTTGACCTTAGATCGCTGGAGCGGCAGCGGTGTCTTCCTTAAGGGATTCCTCATTAAACTCAAGCGGAGCGCTGCCAACCAGCAGCTCTCTGCTGCCGCCAGCACGCCTGCACCCAGCGACAACTCGGCTGGTGCTGTAGTGGACGCCATTCAGGACTTCATGTGGCGCCTGCCACGGGACCGCCTGAACTTCCTGCTGATTGATGAGGCGCAGAGCTTTTACCTGCTTGAGCTTGAGCGGGATGACTTTTCGCTGCACAGCTTAAAACTGGACATGGACGAAGTGCAGCTCATGTGGCGGTAAATCAGCACAAGGTTTCCCTAACCGTGTCGTGTGATCACATGGGCAAGGATGAGGGGCAATGGCCAGTGAAACGTGCCCAGGCGGAGCTTCACACGAGGGGGCAGAAGGCACTAAGAGGAGATTGCTGCGAGAATCAATTGTACGACATAAGCATATTGCACAAGGGGCAGAGGTCTGCACTAATGCCTACAGCAGGTGTACGACCCAAAGGAGCTGACACATGCACCATTTTCCTTCCCTCAACTGTCGTGTGTACTGCAGCATCTTCAAGAAACTCCTGCTGGACAGCCCCCACTGGGTCGCCTGGGCCATCACGGGCAGCGGCATGGCGACGCTATGGGCCAACATTGCTGCCACCCCGGTAAGCAATTGGTGTTGCAGGGGGGGGGGTAGGAGGCACTTCTGGGGGAACTACAGCTAGGCGAGGGCGTTCTGTATCTGCTTTTTGAATGCAAAAGGACCCAGGAATACATAAGTGTTATTGGTCTCCAAAGTTGGTTGTACGGCAGCGTGTGGGGTGGTGGGTCCGGGGGTCCGGGAACAAAGGGGTCCCGAAACAATGTCACCAGTGGCTAAAACATGTCAATATGGACATCAATCGCTTCACCTTGATGAGATCTATCGATTGCACTAGTCTGCTGTGATGCTAGGGAGGTTAGTTGATGGGGGGCCCTTCAGGCCTGGGGCCTTGTCTCCCAGCACCCCTTGGCACCACACAACACGTGTGAACCAGAGTTGTTTACACGTCTCCTTGCGGTGTGACAATTTGTCATAGGCGCACCGGACAGATTGGGTGCAAGGACTGAGTGGGCACTTGTTGCATGTACGGCAAGAGCCATGGTGGGCCACTGGGCCACGGACCTTCATTGTCACTGTGAACATGTCGATATACCTTCCTAGGCAGTTGTAACAACTGGGTTTATGTAACGTGCATGCTAGAGAAGGCGAGCAAGAAAACGGATGTGCGGATAGCAGACCTGAAGCGGCATCCAGGCCCTCAGCAGTGGCGTGTCGTGCTTCTAGGCCAACATTGCTGGCAGCACAGCTGACGCGGTGGTGCTGTAAACAGCAGCAGCTGTGTGTCGGTGTGAACTCAATCATGTCGCTGAACTACTGGCAAATGTTGTTGTTGTTACATGGTTGTGGGTGCGTTCCCTGTACCTGCAAACCACCCTAGTACGAGCCGAGGGCTCAAGGGCTGCCAAATCGCCTGTAAGCACCATCCTACCTCGCACTTCCAATGAGACAAGTGATGAAGTATACTAACGACCAAAGGGAACGATAGAGTTGCGGTGAGACCATATACGTTCCAGCATCCTTGCCAGGCGTTCAGGTTCCCACTTCATAGCATCCTTCATATGTTCGAAGCGTGGAAAGCCCATATCACATGTGGCAAATGTGTGAACGCAAACTGGCATCCCTGTCTTTTGTGGTTACTGGCCTGCATGCATGCCTGCTTGCAACACTTGTGAATGCTGCGGGCATGTCAGCTTTTGGTGTGGAGCTCTGCTTATGGGCTGCATATTCTGGCGTTGCATGTGAGGCATGTTCCTGGCTCCTGCGTTTGTCCAGGCGCTTAGACTTCGTTATGATGCTGCTTGCTGTTTTTGGAACTTCGGGGTTCCCCTTCGGGTTCCCCATCGGGGTTGACGGCCACGCTTTGGCTACCGAAACTGGTTCTGCAACGCTGACTTAGTTGTGATGGTCCTGCTGTGTGTATTGATTTTGTGTGCTCGTTTCTAAGCTGCGCTTGGGCCATATGTATGGCCTTCGTCCGAGCGGGTTTTCCAACAGGGGGGATGCTGGTGGTGGCTGTGCTCACACAGCTGCTGCTGTGATTGGCTGCACCGCAGTTTTTGTGACGGATATTGAAAGGTCTTAATGCGCAGATCATGCTGGTCTTTTCCTGGGTGAAAATGACTGTTTTGGGCATGTATGGCAGTGTCGTACACATGTGTCATATGACAGTGGGTGGGTGGTCCTAGGGTTGCCGGGCAAAAAATATAGCATGTGTTCCAGAAAAAAGTATGTACCGCCCCCCTTTGGTTGCAGTCCCAGGACCCAGCGCCTTAAGGTGGACCCTCAGCTCACTTCCCGCCTGCTTCATTGTCACAACCCCAGCCATGACCCCCACTCAGCTTCTCATGCTCCCCCCCCAGCCTTTCCTACCCATGACTGTAGCTTCTGTAGAGCTGAACACCTCTGCTGTGCACGGCCGCAGACCAACGGTTTTGCCCTAATTTCGCACCACCACCGACTCAACCTGAGCGCCACGGTGTCCAAGGATGTGCTGCAAGTCGCCTGGGAGCAGCTAAAGGCCCAGACCAAGCGCTGGGATCCGGCACTGCCAAGCGACCTTGTCTGGCGGTCACCGCCGCAGATCGCCATGCTCGCCTACTTGAGCCGCTGGTGGAGTTCCAAGTGGCATAGCACAGCTGAGCGGCTGGTCGAGCACGGCATGATAATAAAGTTCACCCAGGTGGGGGCTGCATAATGCATTCCTGCAAATGGGACCGGGTGCAAAAGCCTGGTCAGGCACTGGCTGTGAGAGTGTGCTTCTTGTGCATTGAACAGCAGCTGGTGGAGCCAGACAGCTTTGACTTAGCAATCCCCGATTGCTGCATGTGATTCCTATTCAGGTGCTGATAGACCTGCGCATGGCGCTGCAAGTGCCGACAGACCCATGCATGGTGGTGCCAGTGCTGGGCCAGCCTACTTCACAGGTGCTGCTCCTGCGTGAGCTGTTGGACCCGATGGCTGGAGTGGAGCACGCCAAGCTCCCGCCGGCGTTTGAGGCACTGCTGTCCAGCTTCACCACTGAGCGTAACGGCAGGCTATACCTGGATAACCTGCTGTTCGCTCAGGTGCTGCAGGTACGAGTGTAAAGCAGTGTTCGACACCCCGTATGGGGCCTGTAAATTTTTGGCCTTTTTTCGGTATCCCCGTCAGGGCCCATAGGACTTTTCGGTGGCTCCCGTAAGGATTTTGGGGCGCGAAGCGCCCCCTACGGGCGGCCCCCGGGCTGGCCGAAGGCCGGTTACGGTGGCTCCCATAAGGATTTTAAGGATTTATAAAAGGCCGTACGGGGCCCTGTAGGGGAGAGGACGGACCATATAAAGGATAAGGCCACACACTTGATTTACTACTTCGTGTGGGGATGTTGGGACCTGCTGCTGATACCAGGGTGAAGCCACTGATTGATCAGGCTGCTGAGATCTACTCGTGTAAGGGCTATACAGGCATTATTCACAAGTTGTTTTCTGACGTTAGCAAAACTAATTTGAATCCATACGGAGAGGATGATAATGAGGAGGTTGCGACTGACCCAGAGATTGAAGTACTGGTACAAGCAACATACCCCGCTAGTGATGATGAGGCTTTTAGTGACAGTGACTACAAGACCGACGTAGAATGAGATACCGATGAGTCGTGCGTGGATGAGGATTTTGATGATGAGGAGGAGGACGAGAAAGGGGAGCAGAAGGGATGGGCGGCCGCGGTGGCCAAGGCGCTTGGCTTTCGCTGAGTGTGCCGTGTCCCCGTGTGTAATGGTTCACGGGAAAATAACGAAAATAACGATTTACAGGGCAAAAAAATGCAAAGCGTCACTTTCCACAGCGTTTCAGCCAAGGACAGTGTCCCCGTAAAGGTTTTGCGGGTTACGGGGGCCCCTGTAAGGTTTTCGGCCAGTACAGGAGCCTGGTATGGGGGCCCCTCCATAAGGAAAATTTGGGAGGTACGGGGGATCCCGCAAGTTTCAGGAAGGTCAGTGTCGAACCCTGGTGTAAAGCCAACACATGCCCATGTACATCAAGGATACCTTCTGAGTAGCACATGTTCACCAACCAGGAGGCCCTAGAGGCTTGGTGGACGAACACACAGAGGGCCAATGCATGCAGTTGTTGTGTTCAGGTGCACACCTGGAGAAGTGGGCATTTGAGGCGCTCACCTGGGTGTCCGTCGGTTCTCAAGGCATGCAGGGTGTTGCTGCAACACAGGATCAGAAGGGTTTCTGGGACTCAGGAGACTGGACTGTGCGAGGCTAAAGGATGCCAACTTGTACTGCTGCCCTACACACAACATACTCACTACCTGTTGCCGCCTGCTCTTCCCTGCTCAGGCGGCCACCACGGAGTCTGGGGAGCTGTTGGAAGAGATCATTGCCATCCCGTCGTTCAGCTCCACGATGTTCAGGGAGCTGGTTGTGCTCGGTGAGTGCTGCAAGGATGAGAACTTCGACAGCTATGAGGACCTGCACAGCCTCCTGGAAGCCATGGCATCTGCACTGGCGCTTACACCGGACAAGCTACTGAAGGTGGACTGGTTCATCCAGGTAAGAATGCCAGTGAAGGGTGTTGGGGCGTGTGTGGGGGGTGGGTGAGTTGCCATACTGCGAGATTAGCGAGTCTGGCCAGGAGACCCACAGCAGAAGGAAAGGAGGAGGAGGTTAGGAGGCTACAGTCGCAGACAGCATCATGTTCACCTGCAAAACACAGGAGGAACGGTAACAAGGCGGCCAGGAAACTGTTGGCAGTGTGTGCCGCTGGCTAGGGGAAAAGCGGGGTTCCAAACAGGGTGGCCAATCAGAAAATGAGCAAGCAAGCTTGTGAGGTGTTAGGAGGGTGCTTGCAGTAGTCACAGGACTACTGCAGCACTCACGGGTCAACAGTAGCGCTGCTTGTGGTGCCAAGGGGTTTTAGGGTTTTAGGGTGTGCAGCCAGCCAACAGGGCCAGGTCGCAATGCTGCTGGCCTGTACACCCCTGCTTCCCATGGAACTGTGTTGATCATGGCGCTCAGTGCTCCATCTACCTGCAGGTCCTGGACCACCGCTACAACAGCCATGACAGCAAGGTCAAATTTGAGGAGGACTATGGGGCTCAGCCTGACATCAAGGTTGGGCTTCGCTGGTTCCACGTGCTGCTGTCCAACATCCTCAGCCATGCCCCTATCCTGGAGCAGGAGGAGTTCCTGCGGGCCTACCCCTCAGAGCTGGCTGCATTCCACAGCAGTGGTCGCATCAGTGCAGCACTGACCAAGACATACGAGCCCAGGCGCAGTTGTGACAGCAGCAGCAGCGGCACCCAGCACGGTGGCAGCAGTGGTGCCCAGCATGGCGGCAGCAGAGATGAAGGGCGTGGTGTAATGGCAATGGCTGACAAATGCACACCTGTGTGCCTGGCCCCAGTGGCAGGCTGTAGTCAGCGTGGGCCTCTGGTTCACACGACCGGCAGGCATGGGGTGTGGGGCCAGGGAGGGCTGCGGGCAGCCACACTTGCACCGCGCCTGCATGTGCAGCACTCGTTCTTTGCACGATCTGCAGCAATAGGGCTGCGGCTACCCTGATGAGGGTGCCCCTACCAGCCACCACTGACTGCTATGTGCCGTGTGCAGCTGATGTTGGCGGCTGTAGCTCCAGCAGGTGGAGGGGACTACCCTGGGCTGTCAGGGGCAGGCTACCTGATGCTTTTGGTGTGTGGGGAGGGGGATTGAGCTGCCGGTGTCCAAAGTCCATGTGTGAAAAGCGGGGCAGACTGAAGGAGGACTAATGGGGAGACCGGTAATCCTGAGCTGCGCTGGACGGTGTTCACCTGCCACCTGTAGTATGCTGCAGTGTTTTTCCCCAGGGTGGTGTGACTGAGACCCGTGGTGAGACCATGGTATAGCAGCAGGGCCAGGAGTTTGGATTCCCTGGTGTGTTGTGGCAGGGGGAAGACGACACTGAGTTTGAAGTTTCGGATTTACAGGGGGGAGAGACAGGTTGGTCGTTGCTTAGTGGCGCTGGCTATGTGACATGATTGGAGAGGGTATCATTACCTGGCATATTGCAGTGCACGGAAGGGACTGCGAGCCACCTGATAACCTCATGAGTAGCTTTTATGTATTGATCAATGTATGCGTCATCCTGAAGGTGATGGGTGGTGGCAGCCGGTTTACGAAAGTAGGTGGACTAGCACACAGCATGGAAGACCTGGCATTATGAAGAGTTGCTTAGACAAACCTACTGATTGAATGCACGATGTTTGGCTGTAATGCACCTAGCAGCTTGACCGTTGCCATTCATGAACCTAAACCACGTCATTGTTCGTGAAAATACCAGAGCTGTACTGTCCAAGATTACATGTAAACAAAGCTATGATTGCATATATACTTGGGCTTGCTTAGGGTTATCTTCTGCCTTAGTCATTGGTCTGCAAACCACCTAGTCGTATTCAAAGTGACCATTGTAAGATTCCTTCAATATTTTGGGGTTCTATGCATCTTTCACGCTGGCCATCGACACTTGCTCTGATAGCTTTCCAACGCTGCTGAGCATATGATATGTGTTGCCCACCCCCAACAGCAGGCAAGCACGGCCCTATTTAGGCTGCCCAGCCGCTAATCAGATGGCAACCTGTTGGACCCCGCCGCTGTGTCATCTTTAGGGTTGCAGGTGCATTAGAAGTTAGAAATAATATTAAATTAAACTAATTAGAATTCTAATGAGAAAGTTAGAAGACCCCTAGAGAACAGAACGTTCTAATGTCGTACACCCATTAGAATGGCTATTCAGACCGCCTCCGCAGCCTGCAACGGCACATTTTTCTAGGAAAAATGGCTGATGCTGATGCTGGGCCATCAAAACCACCAGTTTCGAAGACTCCTAAAGCAACATACACTTATGGCAACAAGGAGCTAGACGCTCCAGCCTACGCGGAAGCCCTGAAGAGTGCAAAAGCGAGAGGCAGTGCTTCCTGGTGGTCGTTTTTCACCGTGATCTTGACAGAAGGAGTCATGAAGCTGAAGTGCACCATTTGCGGCGAGGTGCTGGGTGCCAAAAATCCGTCTGCAACAGCTCCCAACCATCTTAAGAAGCACAGCAAGGCAGCAGGCAAGGCGCAAGCGCTGGCGTCACAGGAGGGCAGCGAGGCGGAGGGCGCCACACCTGCAGTGCCGTCCGGCACGAAAAGGTCTCGCTCATATGACGGCACGCCCACTCCATCCATGCGGCTTTTCATGCCATCTGCCAACCAGATATACGTCTTCCTGAAGAATCTGGCCTTGTTCTTCTACACCACCAACATCGCCCTTCACCTTATCGAGAACCCCTACCTCGTTCAGGCCTGTGCTGCCCTGGGGGTCACACTGCCCAGCCGCTGGAAACTAGCAACCACTATGCTTGACGAGGCGCACGCGGAAACAGTCTCTGAGGTTGAGAAAGAGTGTGCGGCTGGGGAGGGGCTTGCGTGTATTGCCAGTGACGGTTGGCGGAGCCGCGTTGTGCTGGTTGGTACCCCACTCATCAACATCATGTCGCTGTTTATCGGCTGGACGTGCAGGGGGAGTGAAGGAAGGGGCCCTGGAAGCCTTGGGGCAATTTGCATGAGTTGATGAGGATTTTGCTAGAAGTTTTGGGGCGACAGATTTGGCATGTCCGGACTGTGTGTTGGGTGTTGCTTTGCAGACAATTAGGACTGGACTCTTGGACTCTTGGTTCAGGTACCAAAGATGTTGGGAAGGCGTACGCAGAGACAGTTTAAGACAGTCTAAGACAGTTTAAAGGCGAAATTAGTGACCCAGAGGTCACTTCGACCGGGGGTTTGGCTGAGAAGTCCTGCTTACGGGTGTCGTAGCCCCGTAAAAACCGTTAAAAACACCTGGGTTAGCATCTGCCGTAACCATGGTGAAACTCCGAAGTGAAAAGTCGCCCTCCCTGAGAAGTTACCCCAGGTCTTCTAATATTATTTCTAACGTTCTAATTAGAAATAATATTAGAATTAGTAGAGAACGCCTGCCATTCTAATAATCTATGCAACCCTAGTCATCTTGCCGCTCGCCCGCCCCCCTCGTCCTTTATGATTGCCAGGAACAGCTATGAGTCCTCTTCCCTTTCTACACGCTCTCTACTGACTCCATTTGCCTCCCCTCTTCCCCTGATATGCCTGGGACTGCTTACCTCCCCCTTAATCCGTTCATCTTCCCTACCGGGTCTCCCCTCTCTCCTCTCCCCTACAGCAGTGATCCGTTGGCGGCCTACACATCTGCACCTCGCCCTGCAGCTGTCACAGATTTTGAAAAACGTTCGGCTGTCTAAGCATCGACATCATGGTTGTGGAACCCTGCCTGGGGCCCATCGTTGAGGCATGAAAAAGACTACCGGATTCATGCGAGGAAATGGCCACTTATGCGTGCAGGGTTTGTTGGAAGATTGCGCTGCATCGCTGCCCCGGAAGTAGACCGCTGTACGGGTACGAATTTGTGTCTGACGTCAAGCTCCATGGAAACCCGCTGCTCGTGGCGGCACTTTAGTATTGGGATGCTGGAATGAAAGGTAAAAGGCATAAGATTACCACGGAGAGGTTCTGATTTTGTAGCGCCTGAAAGCCATGTCCTCGCTCGGTGTTTGTTCATACTCAAGGTGCGAACATCAGAAGATCTGAGTTAGGAGCGGGTTTATAAACATCTTTAAAACTTTTGTGTTTGCGGGTGTTAAGCAGGTTGCGCTATGTCGAAACCGGTAGTCCGTGTATCGATTTTGTTTACCGGTTAAGGCGTTCCTGCGCGCACAGCAGCCTTCAGCTGCATGTTATTGCCTGGATGCGATTCATATATAGCGGTGCATAATGCAGAACACAGAGCCTACCCTGGCAACGAAAGGTGCAAAAAGGGTTTACGACAGCGCCAGGGATTACGGCAACTGAATTTACGATAGACAATCCTTTGACTATCCTCTCCCTCACAGCGCACATTGGTGTGAGCGACGGAATAATCTCTGTACATCTTGGTAACAGTTTCATAGCTTCAGTGCAGGCAACGTGCGAGTTGGCACAGACTGTTCACTTGTTGTTGACATCGTTCCGCTCTCTATCAACCAGTCAACTGCGTTTCATATATGGTATAGCAGAGTGCCGTGAAAATAGGCAGAGGCGTTTGATTTGGGTTGCTTCGCTACTCCACACCAGAGCGCTGCTCCACACCAAGACACAACCTTGAAACAAGCACATGAATTGTACTACGTCCTGATCAGATGCTTCATACTCCGGGAGTATAACCTCTATGGTTTCTGACCCGGCCTGTGGGCCCGCTTGACCTTCTGTATCTGCTGGCGTGATTTCCCTGGCCTGCTTTTTATCCTTCAAAGCTTACTATGAGCGATAGTAAGTAAAGAACGTAAGCTTAACATCGATCACGCCTTGGCATGCCAAGGTCCAGCCCAGCCGAAGTCGCAATGCAGTCACCATTCCCCTAGTCCAGGACTGCTGCCGGACAGGACAAGTCAACGGGCCCCTTTGATCCCCCAAACCTGCTACCTGGAGCTGATCATGCAGTTCACCGTGTCCTTGTCTAGACCGCTTTCATGCAGGTGCACTGTCCCGCCCCACTTTCCCATCTTCATGGTTCGCAGGCAAGCGGCGCCGGAGCGACTCCCGCTCGCCGCCGGCCGCGCGGAACGGCAAAGGCGCGTACGACAGCTTGGACGAAGGCCGCTGCGGCGGTGGACGCCGCAGCAGCCGCCACGACAACCAGGACTACTACGACCATAATCGCGACCGCGATTTGGACCGGGAACGGGGTCGCAACGGTGGCGGAGCCCGCCAGCATGGTGACCGGGAGTACGACGGCGGTGTCGGAGGCGGCAGGGGCCGTACATTGAAGGAAGAGCCGTCGTCCGAAGCCTTGGGACCTCGATTCGGAAGTGATCGAGGAAGGGATCGAGGCCAAGATCGGGATAGGGCCCGGGAAGGGGACCGACGGGAGCTGGACGGCTCGTACGGCGGCGGCGGCGGCGCCAAGCGCGAAGCACAGGGCATGGAACGTGACGTCCGAGAGGCCAAGAGAGATCGGGGCGCCAACGGCGATTGGAGCGACCCCCCCTCCGCTGCTGCAGCCGGTGGTCGCCGCAGTGGCAGCGGTCGTGATGGTGGTGAAGCTTCAAGGTACCTGTCCGCTGAGGAGCGGGAGGACAGACAGCGGCAAGAGGAGGAGGCGGCAAAACCCAAAGCACCAAAGGTCCGTTGGCGGTTGGGTTGGTTGACGGTTGGGAAGCACGTGAGCGATGTCATGGGGTATGGCCCGCGTGGCGTGGCGTGGCGTGGAGTATATTGCTGATGGCACCGCGTCGGGAACTTCGGTACGGCTATAGTTGTAGGGGATTGTGTTGGTGGTACGGCATTACGGAAGGCTTCATCCTGTACGAGATTAGTTACGCGCAGGGCACGACGCTGGGTACGAGCGCTACTAACAAGTTACAAGTTGCGCACACACGAGTGCGGGGGTGTCCGTAAAAGCCATTGGGGGGGCCGATGGACGGTAAATCGCTTCTAGTGCAGTTACACGGTGGACCATCATTGTCCTCCCTCGTCCGCTTGAGCATGAAGCACCTTAGAGCAACGTGCAGGGTCTCCCAGACTTCCGAGAGGAACCTGGCTAGCGCCAGGGGTGGGACCTCGGTCAAATCGTGCGCACGTTGTGCCCTTGAGCTACTACTACCCGGGTATAGCCCTACATGGGGGTTTTTTAGCGGCTGAAGGAGGATAGCCCTGGGACGGGTTTCGGAGCCCTTCGGAGGAGGGGGCTGAACTGGGTCGTACGTGTCGTACAGCTGCAGGGGTAAGGGGATTGTGGCGTAGGGATTTGTCTGTCTTTCCATTTGTGAAATTAAGTATCTTAGGGATCACCTCTCCCCCCTTCCCTACCTTTACTTCTTTACGGCTTGGCATTTTACTGCTTTTCTTCCGCGCTTATTTTAGTCTTGGCGGCTAGGTAGGTAGTTTTCCGACATCATCTTCACTACGTCATCCCGAGGTCGCCGCCTTCAGGAACGCCTTTTGGTCAGTTCTACTCTTGGTACACTCTTGCCCTGGCAGCAGGTTCGTCTTTCCCCCTTCCCTCCCACCAATCCCCCCCCCCCTTCCCTCTGTGTATGTGTGTGTGTACGTATGTATGTATGTATGTGCCATACAGGAGGCCCCCAACCTGGGGCTGTCCGGCAAGCTGGCCGCAGAAACCAACAAGGTGAGTGCGTGATCGGGTGGCGGGGTGTGATGAGCCGGAGGCGGCTGACCCAGCTGACCCGCGGGTCGGCAGATGGGTCAAGAGAGGGCTTCTATTTTGCTTTGGAGAAGAGTGGGGAAGATTGGGACCTGCGGGGTCCGGTGTGTCCGGGGGAGGTGGATGGTCGCGTCGTGGATGGCCGTCAGACTGGAAACCCCTCCACAGCACAGTACAGCATGGTCCAACATGGACAGCATGGTCCAACAACACAACTTTGGAGGGAAAGGAAAGGAAAGGAACAGGAAAAGGAAGCAAAGCAAGTGAAAGGAAAGGGAAGCTCGAGATAAGAAAGTCGCGCGTGTTTCCGTTTTCAGTGGGCCCGGAGCCCGCGGCCTTTCGTTGCCATGTTATCGCATCGTACTGTATGTATGTATGTATGTATGTATGTCCTGTACGCCGTGTTGGAAGTTACCTGACGGTGGCGATGACGATGGTCTTGATGTGATGGCGTTGAGGATGTCGGGGTTGTACGTGTATGCATGCGTACGTACGTATGTATGTGTGTATGTATGTACCTGGCAGGTGGCTGGCGGTGTGGAGCTGAAGCACGTGCCGCCACCGGAGGCCCGACTCCCCGACAAGAGGTGGCGGCTGTACATATTCAAAAACGACCAGCTGCAGGACGAGCCGTACAGAATCCACAGGTACGACAACGGGTGTTTTGAAATTTGCACTGGCTGCTTGGTGAATGATATCTTGCGTTGCAGTGCTGGCCTGAAGGGCCGAGCGGAGGAAGGGGGGGTGTTTCGCAAGGCCACGCAACCCCCCTGGAGGCTCCCCCCAAGGACATCTTCTTGCCCTTGACCCTCTTCCCCCCTCCCTAGTCTTTCACACAGTCTCACCTATTAAGTAATATTCCGCTCCTCACCCTCCTCCTCCTCCTCACCCTCCTCCTCCTCACCCTCCTCCTCACCCTCACCCTCGCCCTCCTCCTCCTGTACACACCCTCTCCCGCCAACCCCTCTGCCCCCTCTCCCTCTCGCCACCACCACCACCTCCTCTCCCCCCCCCCTGTTCCACCACCTCCAGGATGAACCATTACTTGTTCGGTCGGGATCTGCAAGTGGCGGATATCATCACCGCACATCCCTCCTGCTCCAAACAACACGCGGTGCTGCAGTTTCGGCTAACAGAAAAAAATGACGAGCTCGGGCGGCCAGTCAGTGCCGTACGTCCGTACCTTTTGGATCTTGGAAGCGTCAACGGAACCTTCTTAAACGGTGTGTGGGATCGGGGTGGCGGGTACAACACGTCTTCCTGGATCCGGATCTGGAATCCCGTTGATGAGAGATGAATCCGGCATATGACTTGTGATCCAACACTGCGAATTCTGTGGAGGTTGGTGTTTCGGGTGCCCCACCTCGGGTGTTGCCATCCTCCTCTCCCTAACCCTCTCCCATCCTCTCTGCTCTTTCCGATTGTGTACCCCCGCGCCCCGCTCATTATTTCCTCAGTTACCCCAGCCCGCTGCCCTTGCTGACCCCCACAATGATGCCCTAAACACCCGGCACCGGCACCATGATGGGGTCGCCAACAGGCGAGCGGCTCGAGCCCCTTCGGTACTACGAACTGCTGGAGAAGGACGTCGTACGGCTGGGGCAGAGCTCCAGGGAGTACGTCCTTCTGCATGACAAGTCCGGAGACGAGTAGTTAGCGGCACCACTATCACCACTAACACCGCCGTCGGCAGTAGCGGCAACAGCGGCCCGGCGGGGTGGCAAAATGCATAGTAGTGATGGCAATGGCAGTAGCGATGTGCCGATGTTGCGGTGTATGGAAAACACACACACACATTAAGACACACACACACACACAAAAGACACAAAACACACACGAACACACAAACACACACACACAACTATCTCTCTTCTAACTGACCAAAAAAGACGTACGTACCTGACCCACTGGGAATTCACATGCAGTCGAACACATCTGATGTGTGTGTGTGTGTATGGTGCGACATCCTCCCAAGGGGGGACCTTCTTAGAGTTGCTCCCCGGGGGGGGGAGGGGGGTAAGACGAAGCATAGACGTTTGACGCGAAGGAGGCGCGGGGGAGGGGGGCGAGAGGGGATTGCTGTTGGGTTTGGTGCTGGGCGCACAGTCCCCTTACACTCCCCGGGAAAGGGGCCGCCATGGGGGGGGGAGGGGGGCTCGGATGACTGCTGGGTGGGGCCCTTCTATGGGGTTCTGTTCTTCTATAATTAGAATAAGTAAAAGAATTTTAATGACAATGTTGATTGTGTGGTGGCGAAAAACATTCCTCACGGGTTTCGACCCCAGGTGTTTCAACTCGGTGGTTGCATGGCTATGGCTCGGTGGCTACTTGGTGGGCGGACAACTGGCGGAACTCCAACAATGGCTGGGGCTGTGGGGGGTCGGGAGATGTTGGGTCGCTGTACATATCGTTCAGATCCTCCACCTGGGGTGCGGTCTTCGTAGGGTGGTGTTGTGCATTATTGTTATCAGTCTTGGGGTGTGGTGGCGGTTGGTTTTCCCGGTTGTCATGTGTAATGTGTAACGGTCATGATGATGAGAGGTCATGAAAATGAGTGCAAGGCTGTTATATTGGTTCGCGCACTTGGTGCATTTGGAAACGTGCCCTCCTCCTTCCCCGCCCAGCCCCAAAGCGGAGTGCCATTCCTTGGAATCTCTCGCCCACCCACCTTCATGTATTCATTATACAGAGGGTTCCATTTACAAGTGTACGAGACACGTACGACACGCGTACGATTGAGCGCGCGACACCCGTCATGAAGCATAACCCTTTTGTCTGTCTGCGCCGCCCCAATGCTCTGGAAGCTTCCACAGCTTCAGACCTTTCCGTGCCTGTTCTCCCTCCCTCACACCCCCCTACGGGGCCCTACGGGGCCCCCAAGGATTCGAAACTGCCCTTCGTGGTGGCCCTCGGCATATGATGTCTCTCTAAAAGCGGTCGTTCTAATCTAATCTGGTTGATCATTAGGATATTGTATAAGGCACCTCTGTTGTTGTTGCGAATATGTGGCGGTGTGTGGCACCGGCCTTTTTAAACCGGCCCCCCCCCGCCGCAATGTGGCCTCTCCTCCAGGGCGGTCTACACACCCCTCCGCCGGCCTTGTGGTGCGGGTAGGCTGTTACCATACGCACACACACACATACATACATACGCATACACACACATATACATACGCATACTCATATACGGGCGCGTCGAGGTATGTTTTTATAAAAGGTTTTTAGCAGAGCTGCAGGAATCCGGTACTCCTACTCCTTAGATGCTACTGCTGGCATTGATGCTGTTGCCAGTGTTGCTGTTGTTGCTGCTGCTGCTACAGCTTTATACTTAGGGGTTTAGGGCATTCAATGACGTATTCAGTCGAATCTCACGAGCTGCATCCGTCCCGACCACCCCCCCTGGCGCACACACACACAGACACAGACACACACACACATACACGCGCGGAGGAATATATATTCCCCCCCCGCACCACACGCACGCGCAGTGAGGCGATAAAACATACATACACGAGCGGTACATGGTCGTACATGGGCCTCTAACAACTAACAACGTCGCTCTCCATTCGCACCAAATTTCAACTACTATCGCCGTACACTTGTTGTTACCCCTCCTAATCTCCTCTTTTACTGTTCCTCTTTGTTCCCGTACTCTCCCTCTGCTGTCCCCTCCGCTCTAACTCAGCGATCTGGGGCACTAAGAACTTCTCCTTAACCCCCCCCACACAAAAAAAACACAAGACACGGCATGACACGCCAAAATTGGAAATGCCGTTAACCCGGGGCCCCCCAGCCCCGCCCCCCACTCTCAATCAGCCAAATGGTCGGAAGCCCCCCCAACGGTGCGCCCTCTGTCTCCCCTCCTCCTTTCGCCCCTCCCCCAGCCCCGCTACCCCGGTGCGCATCCTGCCGTACTGCCCCGCCGTACAACGAAACAATACACGCACACACGCGTATGGACACACACGCCCACGCGCGCTCTCCACCCCTCCCCCTCAGGCTGGCACCCTGGAGGCGCCTAATGGCCCAATGGCGCGACCTTGTGTGTTCCGTTCCGGACCCCTCCTTCCCACACACACACCCTCCACCTCACCCCCTCCACCCCCTCCACCAGCACCATAATGATGATGATGATGATGGTGTGACGTCATCAAGTCAATGATGACGATGAAAGCTTGATGAAAACTTCCGGATAGAACCATCGCGCGGAGGGGTAAAGGTGGGGGAGATAGATAGATAGAGAGAGAAGAGACAGAACCCGTCGCGAGCTGAACAGAAAGCTATCAAACAACGACAACAACAATACTAACAACTACTGCATTGACGTGTGGTCGAGACGACACCGAACCGTATCTGAAACATCTAAATACAAAAATATGAAGATGTTGTAAACTAATATCTAAAACACCGGGAAGGGAAGGGAAGGGGGCACATCGCAGAAGTTGAAGGAGAGACTGGGTGTCGTACAGCGTGTAAATTGTACGGCATGTCACGCCAACGCACCACCACAAATGCACCTACCTTACCTCCATTATGATCACCAACTACTAACCCAACTACCAAATTACCCAATAACGAACAACCGCTGCCCAGTACAACACTACGGGTGGGGTGGCGCGGGGGCCGCTTACCATGCGCAGCAACACACACACACACACACACACACACACAACCCTTCTCCACAGGCCCACGTGTTCCTCTTCCCCCAATTTCCTCCCCATCCAACCCTGCTCCTCCAAACTCACCAACCACCCCAACACCTCCCGCAGCACTGGACTAGCGGCGCTACCCCTGTCTGACTACCCCGCGCCACCCCACATAGGACGAAGAGGATTCCGATCCTCCGCCCCCACTCCCTGCTCGCTCCCGGCTGGGCAGCGCGTGTGGTGGTGGTGGTGGTGATGGTGGTCGCCTTGCTGGTTAGGGCGGTTGTGGGGCCCCCACCCTCACCATAACCCTATATCCCCTTCCCTTCTCTCCTCTCCTCTACCTCCCCATCTCCTCTTTTTTTCGCTTAAAAAGTGGAATGGAATGGGCAGCCACTCCGGGGCCCTCTCCTCGTCTAGTTTCCAGCCATCGTCCACCAGCGTCGTACGACAGTACGACACAGCAACAGTACGGCCTAAAACAGCTCCAGCAATCGCAGACCCTCCAGGATGCCGTCGGGACCCCGCCGGGCGACGTGTACGACGACGCTCCTGCTGCCGCTGCTACTGCCGCCGCCAGAGTTCGTACTGCCGGCGGCGGCGGCGGGTTCCCATCCTCCGGCAGTAGCTTGGTGCTGGCGGCAACAGTTGCCGCTTGCGGGCGCTGCCGCTCCTGAGGACGTCAGCGGCGGCGTCGCTGTCGTACCGTCCGCCGCCGTCAGCAGCTGCCGGAGTGCCGCTGGTGGCCGGACTGCCGCGACCACAGCGGCGCCCCCCGCCGCCGCCAGCAGCTCCGCGTCACGATCTGTGTCTCCCACCGCCACCGTCGCGGCGCCGTCGATGCCAAAGCGGCGCATCACGTAACGCAGCGCGGCGGCCTTTCCCGCCCCCGCCGGCAGTACATACAACGTACACCACTCGCCGCGTGACCCGCGGGGCTGTACCTCAAACCTCACCCCTAAGGTGGCGGCGGCAGCAGCAGCGTCGCCGCCGCCGCTAGCAGCGCCGTTGGTTAGCGGCGGCGCCTCCGTCACCTCCGTGTCCGCCTGCAGCCCTCCTACAGCGGCTTCGGAGCCAACAGGGCTGACGGCGGCGGCGGCGACCGCTGCTGCCGTTGTATTGAGAAGCCGTTTACGAATGTCGTACACCACGTGCGCAACCAAAGAGCTGTGTAATTCTAAGCAGACCACATGACGGGTCTGAAGCCTGTCAAGCCCGTACGACACGGCAGGACGGCCAGCAGAGGCCGTACAACTGTGCCGGTATGGAAGTACCTGTGGCGCTGCATCAGCGCGAGGACCACCAGCAGCATCGGCTACCACTGCCGTACCTGCTGTCGTATCCGCCGTACAAACCTGTTGTTGGTTGGAGACATGGCGCAAAGCCGTCACATCCGCACGAGACGACGGCAGAGCCGCCACCAACGTCGCCGCCGCAATCTTCACCCCGTCGTACTGCCGTACGACACAATCGACCGCGCGCCGCACAGCGGCTGCATCGTACGACATGTCCAGATGCTCGGACCATTGCTCGTCCAACTGCCAACCGGCGGCGACCGCACACTCGCTGTCGCCTGCGTCACCACACGACGCACGTACTCCCCGCCCCCGCCGCCGCCGCCGCGTCGCCGCCGCCGCCGCCGCCGCAGGCGTTACCCCTAAACGGTACGCCACTTGCGTCCCGAGCGCCAGCAACATCACGTCGGGCTGTGGTAGGAAAGCCTGCTTGTCGCGCCAGTCCAGCTCCAACGACCTCAACGTCCTGCCGTACAAACCATGGCCATGATATATGATTGTACGAACATGTACGATTAGACGCGCAAGGTCGACTTCCACTGTGTGTTTATATAATCAAGATACAATCAAGTGTGCTGCTTATGTGTGTGAATGCATACCTACATACCTACTCCTGTGGGGGCAGGTCCCCCTCACCGCCCTGGATTCCCCCTGCACGAAAGCCGTACGGATCTGCACCGGGCCCCCCCCGTCACACCCCCTCCCTTTCCCCCTACTGGTCAGTTCTACTCTTGGTACACTCTTGCCCTGGCAGCAGCTTCACTCGTTCACGTGGTTCGTCTTTCCCCCCCCCCTGCTCCCAGCGCAACCTACAGACCCACAGCACCTGCTAGTGGCCAGTACCAGCAACCCGCCGCGAACCCGCAGACTGCCCTCCCACAGCAGCCGCAGCTGCAGCGCCGACCGCTCGTAGCCCCGCCCGCGGGAGCCTGAGGGGTGGTGGTGGAGGTTGGCGTGTGTTTGCTAAGGGGGGGGAGGGGAAAGGAATGAGTCGTGCATGCAGCCACGGCCATATCGCATTGATCCTGCCTACATATACATACATACATACATACGTCGTGTTCCTTGGTTTAAACAGACAGTCGTGTCGGTTGGGCCCCATTCGCTACAGCTTCCCCCCCCCCCGGGGTTTGGGGTTTCCCGGCCCGTTTCCCCTCCCCCCCTCCCCCACCCACAGCCGTACCCAAGAGGCTGCTCGCATCTACCACCAGGGCTATATCGTGACGTAAGATTGGTTGAGCCGCCAGTACGGAATGTACGGAAGCAGTAGCAGCGGCAGTAGAACCACCGCTACCACCATCATCGGCGCCGCCGTTACTATGAACGCTTCCGCCGCCGCCGGCGGCGGCGGCGGCGGCCTGCAGCCGTTTTTCACGTTGCTGCTGCTGCTGTGGTGTCGCCGTCATCTGCTGCTGCTGCCGTATGTTTATCTGTTGGGATTGGTCGTTGGCCGTTGTTTCACCTCGTTGGTTTCGGTGCAACTGCCAATGCGCCGTCGGCTGCAGCAGCTGCGCAGATGACGTTCGCGAACGGGTACGGCACGAAGCGAGCCTCAAGGACGGCGGCGACGGCGGCGAGAAGGGCGGTGGCGGAAGAGGCGTCAGCGGAGTCAACTGCGAGGATGGCGTCACCGCCGCCGCCGCCGCTACCGCCCCCTTGCTCGCCGCCTTGGCCGTCACGGGCCCTGCCGCCGCCGGTGCTACCGCCGCTGCTAAGGAGATGGTGGGTGCGTCTCCCGTCGTCCCCGCACCGCCAGCCAATCCCGAGGTACGACATCCCGGGGCCGTATCTGAATCGATTCGAGCTCCCGCCGCTGTCGTACCCGCTTCTTCCGCTGCTGATACTGCTACTGCCGCCGCGGCCCGTGCAGCCGACGACGTTTTATCAACCAGCCCAGCAACCGCCTTGACGAAACCGTTATCATCACTGCTACTGCCACAGCTACCCCTGCTGCTGCAATTGTCCGTTCTGCTGCTACTGCCTCCGCGTCTGGACGCCGCCGCCGCCGCCGCCGCAGCAGCAGCAGCAGGGGAGCACCGGGGGGTTCGAGAAATTGCGGCGGTGGACCTCACCAAGTAGTGGCCAGGGCGGGGCAGAATCAAGGTGGGCAGCGTCGCCGCCGCCGTCGCTGCCGCCGCGGCAGCTGCTGCTACAGCGTCGCCGCCGCCGCCGTCGCTACCCCGGGCGAGGCGGTTAATCGGGGCGTGTACGACGAGTCTGCTACTGCCGCCGTCGCTCCGGAAGAACTCGGAGCGGTGCGTCGCGGCCAGCGGCGGCGGCGGCGCCCATGTATCAACCACCCTGTCAGCGCCGCCGCCACCGTTCCGAGGCATGTCGTTGTCGGCGGCGTCAGGAGCCGACGGCACTCCCGGCGGTGGCGTCGCCGCCAGGTAGAACTCCAGAGACGCCGCGGTGGCCGCAGTCCCAGTCGCGCCAGCGGCAGGCGCCCGTGACTCGCCGCCCGCCGGCGCCGCCGCACCGGCAGTAGCATGAGAGCCAGCCATAGTAGCATGTACGGCAGGACTGGGCGCCGCTGGGATTGCGACAGCGAGGAGGTCCTTTCCCATGCAGCCGGCGGGGGTGACGCGCACCAGGGGCCGCCAGACCCAATCAAGACCCGTGGGCCCATCGTACAGCCGGTACACTACGACACGATGCCGCTCCGGAACCATCTTCCCATCCTCCACGAACAGCACAAACGACGGCGCGGCGAGCAGCGAGGACGATGATGATGGCGGCGGCGTCGCGGGCTGTAGCAGCGCCGCCACCGCCGCCGCCGATGGCATCTCTTCCGAGGCCGATCTTAACCGTGCGCGCCGCTCTGACTGCTCTGCTGCTGCTGCTGCTGCCGCCGCCGCACTCTCAAGCCTTACTGCAACATGATTCGTGGGACTGTTCGGTGCCGCCGCCGCTGCTGTTTCCGGCGCTTCCGGCCGCCCTGTCAACCCCCCCCGAGGGGCCCGAGGAGAGGCTGCAGCGCTCTGAGGGGGACAGGGACCACCCCCCGGCTGTGCGGGGACCGGGGACACCGATGTTGACGATCCTGATGTTGATGTTGATGTGGATGTTGATAGTGGGAGTGGCGATTTGGAAAAGATGCCGTCGCCCATATACGGGCCGTCGGCGGCCGGGGGAAGTGGAATCGACAGCCATTCCGGTCTCAACGGCGTAGTCGGCGGCGCTGCTGGCGGTGTCACCTCCTCGAGCTGTGGACAGGATTGCGGTCGCACTAGCGGCGGCGACGACGACGCCGATACGGCATCTCCCGCCAACGGATGCTGGTACGGCGTCGGCGTCGGCGGGAGGATCCCCGCCGCCAGTCGACCAAAGCCGATGGGGATGTGGGACGTTCGAGACACCGTGAAGGAAAAGTTGAAGCGTTCTCGACCGCGCCGCAAACCCAGGCCGCCGCCACCGGCGCCGCTTCCGGCGCCGCCGGGTGCCGCCGCCGCTGCTGCTGCTGCGGCGGCGGCGGCCCTAGCCAAGGCTCTCCGCTTTCTACGATGCGGCCTTGGCACCGGAAACAGCGCCACAAGGCGCCGCCGCCGCCACCCCGACATCTGCAGTCCTAGCGGTACGACAGTGCTGTCGTACGACGTCGATGGCTCCCCCGAATCGTGCACCTTCCCTGCTCTGCCTTCCCGCTCAGCAGCGGCATCTTCAATCCCAGGTCGCACGGGGGCCCCCTCAAAAAGTGAGGACGCGCGGGTCTCCGAGTGTCGTACGTTGGGCGGGGCCGCTGCCGCCGCCGCCGCCGCCAGCGACTTCCCCGTGAGCTGCGGCGCTTCCGCCGTTGGCGGCTCCGATGAAGTCCGCGAAAGTCCGGGTTCATGTACGGCGGGAAACAGTGACGCCGCCGTTGCTGCTGGGACGGCAGCGGCTGCAGCAGCCGACGGCGCTACGGCCTCTGTCCCGCCGCCGGCAGGAACCCGTCCCTCGCCAACATCCGTTCCATCCTGCCGCAACCGAAACTGCAGCCGCTGCCGTCGCCCAGGAGCCCCCGGCGACCCTTGATTCTGCACATGCTGTCGTATCTGTACAGAAGTACGGCTATGGCGCCCGTACGGCACTCGGGCGGCCGCACCCTCTTGTTTTCGCTGCTCCTGTTGTTGATGCTGGTGACGTTGTTTGTGGTTTCGGTCTGGACGGCCCCGTAGATGCGAGCGACGATGGCGGGGAGGATGGGCGGAAGCCGGGCGCTGCCCATCCGCCCCCCCTATCCCTCTTCCCGCTGCTACCGTCTCGCCGATCGCGGCTCCGGGTGCCGCTTCTCGTACAGTACGACAAACCCGTGTCGGTTCGGACCGCCCCGAAGCAAATCCCGGGGACCTGTAAAACCGCTGGCGGTGCGGGGGAGGCGGCGGAGGCGACAGCAAGCGCGGCGGCAGCCGCCCGCCATCGTCATCACCAGCTACCGCCGGCGACAATGCCCCGTCAGCTACAGGTCCCCCCGTCGATGACCTCGACGCTGCGAAAAGCCGGCTCTTTAGCGCCGTCGCCACCGCCACCGCTGCCGCCGGGGTCGGGGTCTCAGCGGCCGCAATGCCGCCTCCCATTCCGCCACTACCTCCTGCCGCCACAGCCTCCAACCCCACGTCCCCGGCGGCAGCAGCAGCAGCAGCAGTAGCAGCAGGGCACCCTTCAACTAAGCCCCTGAAGTGCTGTTGGTACTCCATCAATGGCGGAGGCGGAGGCGGTGCGCCGCCGCTGCCGTTGCCGCTGGCGGCAGTAGCATGACTCGACTTCCCCGTCATCACCGGGCAGGGCCCCGCAGCCCGCGAGGTGGAGTGGCGATTCCCCCCCGGGGACAACCCCACTGACCCTCCCTGGGGCGTTGCGGTCCAACAGCTGCTCCCCCCACCGTCATCACCCTCATCACCGTCATCACCGGAGGTCGAGGAGGAGGCAGCTGCTGACGCCGCTCGCCGTCGTGACTGCGGCGGCGACGGCAGCGATAGAGCTGTAGCTACATTGCGTCGTCCTGTCTTCATCCCGGCAGCGGCGGCGGCGGCAGCGGCGGGACGGAGAGCAGCGTCAAGGGGTTCGTCAGCAGACGGTCCCCATCTGGCCGTTACCAGCCGATGTGATGGTGGTTGTGGTGGTTGAGGTGGTTGTGCTAGCTGACGGTGTCTGTCCAAAGGAAGGGAAAGGGGTTCCGCCACCTCCCCCTCTGAAGCCCGATTCGCAGGAGTATCCATTCCGTTGGTTTCGGGGCACGGGTACCTATAGGGCCCCGAAACTGCAGGGCTTTGGGTCGGAACCGCTGTCGCCAGTAATTGCTGCTGCTGCTGCTGCGGCTGGTCCTGTGTGTACCGGTGGCGCGACTGGTTTATGGCGGCAGTCGGGGCATTGCTGCTCTCCAGGGATGTCGCCGCGCGTGGGTTCGCAGTCGCGGTGGCGATGGGGTTCGAAGGGGGGTTCGAGAACGCCGGGGCTGAGCGGAGGATGACTGAAGGGGCGCTGCCCAGGCGGATGGTCGCCGAGTGCGACAGGCCTGCCACCAGCGGGGCTCCTGCCAGGCAGTCTTGGTCCTGCGAGCGGGTTGTTAACATAGGCAACGTAGGAAGAAGTTTTTACAGCTGCTTATCCATTTACACTTGTTCGGTAGACTGACCGAACCATTCAAAGCTATTAGCTAAAAGCTAAAAGCTAAAAGGACGCGATAGGTTATTTGCAATATTGAGAGACTTGTTGGCAAGCTCACCCTAGAAAGAGTGCCATATTCTGCTGTGCGTTGTGGCATGGCTCCTCTAACGCTTGCAGCTCGACGACACGCCCTCGGGCGAAGGGGCCATACGCCCGTAAATAGGACCCCAAGGCCCTTGACTGTCTGAGTTCGTTGGGAGGAATCACCAGGTGCCCGGAAAAGGTGGCAAAGGCACAGCGGAGGACCGGCCGCCGCAGCGTGCTGCCTCCGCGCAAGCGGGCATGCACCCGGTGCTGGTGCAATTGGTGCCACATAGCTCAGGACACGGAGTGAAGCTGCTGGACTGATGCTTTGGTGTTGCTGCGGCGCGCTGTGCGCCATCGCCTGTAAGCCAACTGGGCGTCAAGCCCATTACGAGCCCATGCTTGGCAAGTTTGCATGTGTAGGTACATGGCCTAAGTTGCCCATGCATACAAGCTGCCAGCAAGCGCACGCACAAGAGTAAAACATTGTTAACATAGTGAAACTACGTGTGACCACCTTTATAGACCAATTAAAAGGCCATCAGGTAAATGTAATGTTACTGTAGGATGCATTCAAAGCTTGCTCATCACAGTGGGAATAAATGATATTGGTTCGTGGATGGATAAGCTTGCAGAAATTCAAAGCCGTGCGATACTAGGCATCCATTTGTGAAGAAAGGAATAACAGATTTCACAGATTGGCAAAAGACTCAAGTTCATGAATTCATGTGTTTGCGCATGCAGAGTGCAATTGCCTTCATTCACATAAGAAGCTAGGACATCAATTACGACATGCATGGAGACATTGCCGTAGAATTCATGACCTTGCTTTTCTTGAGCAAGCTCAGCGTTTCTGTGGACTGCAGCTTCTTAATTATCAGATGTCGCTATTCTTGCACAGCCGCTTATCAACCTCCAGATGCCTTCCTGATGCAGCCAAGCATGCAGCAGCAACAGGCGCAAATAATTATGAGGCAACCGTTTCTTTTCGACCGTTCTGCTTCTAACAGACGAGGTGTACTGCGTTCGTACGCCGCGGCCGGACGGACAGGCTAGCTAGCCAGAATAGGTATTGCACTACTGGCGCCAGGACGTACGTGCTAACAAACAATCCTGAACGGGTCGACAGATGGAAAAGTTGGGACGTTCTTGTGATAACTGGGAAGCGCGGGCACAGAGGTGCTGCGCATGACATCCAGCACATAGATGCGGTACTGCGACCTTTATTCGTGGTGACTTTCGGTTCTCAGGGTCTTAACAACCTGGCTTGTCCTGCATTGGGTCTTCAGCGACTCATCTAGCCCAGAACTGTTGATGCTCTCAGCGCTGCGCGGCATATTGCAGCGCTGGGTCGGAATGACCACTGAAGTGCAAACCTTGGAGGCTGGGGAGGCGCCCGCGGTCCCAGCAGCTACACCAACTTGTAGCACGGACTACGCTGCCAACGCAGCAACGCGGAGACTTAAACGTGCAGGTGATCAGTATAAACTGTAAACCACAAATTAAATGTCACAACTGGTTGGCAATGGGTACCACGAAGCAGACAAAACCGCGGGCTCTTGTCTTTGTAGGAGCCCTGAACAACGAGGCGGCAGACTTAAAGCGTCCGCGCACAGCACCGACAACACCAATTGATGCTGGTACAAATGGGGCCAACCCACCTATTGGCAAGGTACCTTGGACAAGTGCTGAAGCGCATGCTTTCTTGCTGTTGTCGCGTTGCGCAGTTGGGCCAACTCCCATCCTTCATAAATGATTAATCCATTTGGCTTTTTAGACAGCTTTAGGAGGATCGGGCCGTGCCAATTTTCTGTCCTTGCACTCGAGGCCCACTGGCAACTTAACTTAGCCCGTATGGAACCTTTGTGCAGCGCTGACTCGAGCCCAAGCTCATGAATAAATTGACCTTATTTTTCCAGTCATGAGCCTCACTTCTAGCCTTGACTACGACTCAAGTTGCAAGGTTTGAGACTGCCCGTGATGCCGCATCCAACCGACCTCGCCCGCCGCCCGTTCGCCTCCCTGTCCTAACTCCGCTCCAAAAGCATCCTGCCTTTTTTCCCATCACTCCTGTGTCTCATCCCTACGCTAGGGCTCTGACCCAGATGGCCGGCTCGGCAAACCAACCGACAACCACAACCCCCAGCCCCATGCTTCCCGCCAGACAACCACAACCGCGTCCGCGCCCGCGGCCCTTAACCGCAATCTCCGTTCCCAGCCCTCCGTCTCTACCACCCCCCCGCTGGCGGCCCCGGGCAGCTGCAGCGCCAGCGCCGCCTTCGCACCCGCTGCCTTGCCAGCTCCTATCAGTCGCTATTGCTCTGGGAAATCCATCAGCGGTGTCGTAACAGCGCCACCTCAGCAACTCACCCCACAACATCACCAACATCTACATCAACACCACCAGCATCACCAGCAGCAGCAGCAGCAGCTGTGTCAGGCCTCTGATGACGCGCTCGTCCTGGCCTCCCCCTCCGTTACTGGGACCGCGTCTGAGCAGTTCTCCGTTCTGTTGCAACTGCAACAACTAGACGAGGGACAACAGGAACAGCAGCAGCAGCAGCAGCTTGCGGAGGGGCTGCTACAGCCGCAGCAATCGCCGACCACCTTCCCACAGCGTATCGCCGGTTGTGCCGCATCCGCATCAGTGGTTGCAGCTGCCGCCACATCCGCAGCAGAGGGGGGCTATGGCAGCGAGGGGGTTCCTAACCATGACCAACCGCAACCGCAACCACCTCGCAGCAACCATAACAACCACCTTCGAGACGCGCAGGCGCTCAGTCACAGTCGTGGCCACAGCCCCGCCCTTCCTTCTCATCACCACCACCACCATCACACTCCGCACCAGCTCCATGGCAACAGCAGCAACAGCAGCAGCCACCACCGTCATGACGCTCTAGAGGAGCAAGTCTTCTCGCCGGCCTTCCACCTGCCCGCCTCGGCCTCTGCGGCGACGACGCCACAGGCGCCACCCGCCACCTCCCAGCTGCAGCCTGCGGCGGCGGCGGCGGCGGCTGGTAAGGCAGCAGCAACAGAGGCGGCGGTGCCGCCGGCGGAGGCCGGCGAACCAACAGGATCTGGGTCGCTACAGCCGCAGACTCTCCAGGGTGCGAATGGGGCGGCGGCGGCACTGGCGGCGGCGCCGTCATCGAGCATGGAGATTCGGTTGATGCACCTCCATGGTTGCGAATTCACACACCTTCACACCATAGACCTGGACGTGGTAGACGCTGTGCAGGTGGATACCGACGACAAAGAGGTCGTCACAGTGACGGCGGCGGCGGCGGCGGCGGTGGGGAAGGCGATTGCGCCCGCCGCCGTGGACGAGCATGACGGCGGCGGCGGCGGCGGCCTCCTCAGCATTCAACGGCCAGAGCTTGGAAATTGCCACCTGGCAGGCGGTAGCGGGCGCTCAGATGCCGCGGCGGCGCCGCCGCCGGGCGGAGTACGGCAGGGAGTGGAGTACGGCACCACCAGTAGTGTTAGCATTAGCGGTGGGGGTATCGAGGCAGTGGGTGAGGAGCTGAGCAGCAGCAGCAGCGCCACGTCGGATGAGGTGGGAGAGGAGGCGGAGGGCAGCGGGGGGGCAGCGGCGGCGGCGGCGGCGGGGTGTGCTGCTGGATTTGAGGACGACGACGATGACGACGACTTTTTCGAGTGCGACGACGACAACGACGAAAACACACCGGTGGTGATTTGTGCCAGTCGGCTAGCGGGCGCTGCGTCAGCGCAAGTGCCTCATCCGTCAGCAGTGGCAGATGCAGTACGGCGGCGAGCAATCGCCATCGCAGCAGCAGCCGGTACGGCGGCAGCGTCAACAGCTGCACGGCAAGAGCAGCCGCCACAGGACGCCGTACTCGTTGCGTCGGCGCCACGAGGCTTGTCGGCCGCCGTCTCGGCCGCCGTCGCCGTACAGCAACAAGCTGAGCAGCAGCGGTTGCAGCCGGCGGCGGCGGCAGGTCGGGCCGCGGAGGAAGACGACGAAGACGAGGAGGACGAGCGGCTGCAGGAGTTCGACCCCCTGGTTTTTATCAAGCAGCTGCCGCCCCTGGAGTGCTGCGTTCCCGCACATAGGCCGCTGCTACTGCCGCTGCAAACGCGCGCCATGGCCCGGCGCAAGACGCTCGTCCTGGATCTGGACGAGACGCTCGTACATTCCTCCCTGGAAGCCGTAGATCGCTCAGACTTTTCCTTTCCTGTCATATTCAACGGTACGGAACACCAGGTGTATGTACGGCAGCGGCCGTACCTGCGCGAGTTCATGGTGAGGAGGAGGGGGTTTGTGTATTTGCAGTGCCTCCCCGGGTGGTGGTGGGGGTGACGTGTGTGAGAGCGGGTTTTGGAGGGGGGGACGTGAGGCACACAGGGTTTTAGGGTTTTATAATATAAAGATGGCTGGTATTATATAACACTTTAGCTCACGGGGATCAAGCTGAGTAGTTGGGGGTAGTATATTACGGACTCCTGCTATCCAGATGTAGATTTATGCATCCACGCGGACGTACGGCAATGTTCTTTTTACGGTTATCCAAAATCCAAATTTTAATTAAAAATTCTTAAAAAAATAAAAATCATTAAATATTTAATAATTATTTAATTAAGAGTTATTTTTGGAAATCGATTGCTGTGTAACCTAACTCTGTTTGCTGAACCTCTCCCTGACTGGGGAGTCGCCTGTGTGTTAAACTGTTTTTCCTGTTCTCTGTGCGGACGTACGGCAATGTGTGAAATCGCCTTGGGATCTGTGTTCTTCCCCGCCGGGAAGAAAATAAAAGAAAAAAATAAAACATCTCTCACCACACCCACATCCCGACAACAAACCGAACAAACCGACTGACCCGAACCTCACTCACTGGCAGGTCCGTGTGGCCGCTCTGTTCGAGGTGGTGGTGTTCACCGCCTCACAGCGAATCTACGCGGAGAAGCTTCTGGACATTTTGGATCCACAGCAGCAGTTGGTACGACACCGGATCTACCGGGACAGTTGCGTGGTGGTTGACGGAAACTACCTGAAGGTAATATATGGTTGTAACGGTGGCGGGGTAGAATGGGGTAATTAGTACACACGCGCGTACATACATGCATGCATACATATAACATACATATATACATACATACACTGTGCATCTCCATCTCACATTGTCCCTCCGTTTCTTTTTTGTCCATTAGCATGTCTGTGTGTATGTATGTATGCATGTACATATATATACAATACAAATACAGGGTATATATCATTATTACGTATCTGTATATCTGTCTGTCTGGAGCATTCAACCTGCTATTCCTCTGTCCCCCGTGTTTTCAATCCCCCCCTCGCTCCCCCCCCTCGGCCCCCCCCGCCCCCCACCGACTCCTGATTAGGATCTCTCCATCTTGGGTCGGGACCTGGCGACCACTGTCATCGTGGACAACTCCCCGCAGGCTTTTGGGTTTCAGGTGGGGGGATGACGTGTCCGTGTGTCTATGTATGTATGTATGTGTTGATGGTGAACCTGGCCGCTCTCCTTTACTTTGCATGTGGATCTCCCCCCCCTTATTCCCCCCGTCCCCCCCTTTTCCCCACCCTCATAAAAAAACACACGCACCCCTCAGGTCGATAACGGTATACCCATTGAGTCGTGGTACGACGACGATAACGATACGGAGCTGCTGCGGCTGCTGCCTTTCCTGGAGTGTTTGGCGGCGGCCGACGTGGCAGATGTACGGCCCCGGATTAGATCGCAGTTTCGGTTGCGGGAACTGATCGATCGCGCGTGAGGGGGAAGTGAGGGGGGGGAG